AATTTAATCCAAAAATAAAAATTGACAAAAGTGCACAAAAGTTCCAGATAGTTTAGATTTTACTAAAAGTAAAAGCTACTTAATTCGTTTTTCCGTGTATAAATTCTCATACAAATTTTATCAAAATTTGAAATCAATTCGTAAAAATTTATATTTAAGATATTTACTTTAATGAAAATAATTACGACATAGACGCAATAAAAAATTCTCCACAGTGTGTAAAAAACGCATTTTTTTATATAATTTGTTTCAAAGAATTTTTTTTATTTTAGAGCCTCTCTTAAAAAAACTTAATATTTTTTCAGTCAAAGTAGATAAAAAATTACTCAACTTTTAATATAGACTCAGAGACCGCAATAAAAACTTGGTTCGTCGATAAGTATAAGAAGTCTTAAAGAACTCACTCAAGTCTTTAGAGAAAAGAAAGAAAGAAAAAAAAAGAAAAGCGGCAAATTTTTTTAAGCCCTATATACAAAGTATAGCTACCGTCTATATATACACACATTCTATATAATTTGGATCGAAACGATAGTCATCTTTGCTCTTAGAGTAGGATAGCAAAACCATAATTAGTCTGTCGACTTTTCTCATAAAGACATTAACTCACAGACAGTCTCTTATCTATTTTGCCCGTCTACTGTACCAGGTACAATCATATTCTTCAACTATTATTTAGTACCAACTTCCCTTTCAGTAAATAAGATACTAGGCAGGAGGATTCTTCCTCATATTTGCGGACCGAAATATAATATTTTATAAATCGTTTACCAAAATTCTATACCCAAGTGCATTATTCGCTCGTTAATACAAATCAAATGAAAATTAAATCCAATAAAACTAATTTTACTTATCCCAATTTGTAAATTTTAATACATAAAATTAATTCACATTACTAACAAGCTACCCAAGGAAATGTTTTACTTAAACCAAATATAATTTATTTGAAGCAAATAAAAGTATATTTGTCATAGAGCTTACTAAATTATTTGTCTTTAATACAAATTTTGTTTAGCACAAATAAATTATTTTTGAATCAAATAAAATTTATTTGGAACAAACAAATAATTTAGTCGACTTTGAGTAAAATACATATTTTTTCTGTGTGTAGTTTTTGCTGAATTGTTACACTGAAAAAAAATGTATTTGATTCAATTAAATATTTAATTGATAATAGTCAAGTAATCGGTTATTTGAATGAAATAAAATTTTTTTTCAGTGTATATAAAGTTAATTAAAAAATTTTGTTCACTCTGAAACAAAAGTATATATTTGAAAAATACATAGACAATTTACGATGACCTCGTATGTATTTTTTACCACTTTGAACTCTAGAGAATTGACTAATCTAATTCCAAATGTTCAAAAACTGTTTTATCAGAGTAAAAAATTACATTTACTTATTAAAAAAAAAAAAATACGAGATAAAATAAAATCTGATTATGGAGAAATGTGTCCAATTGAAACGAAATCCAGAGTTTAAGTAGAAAAAGCTGATGTGTCAGACGCGACACAACTTTTTCTACTTAAAACCGTGAATTTCCTATAGAGACTACTTTTTATTTTCATAAACGAATTTTGTATTTTATAATATTATTAACTTATGAAAAATATACTTTGTCCGACTTGTGCCTTTTTTTCTCTTTTTATTCACAAAACAATAAACTGCGATCAATTTTTACAAAAGAGATAAAACATTGTTTGAATAAATCAAAGATGATTATTTTTAAGATTATTTTCCCCCATTAAAAAAATTTCTTTTGTCGCTCATGTGTATTTATAAACAAATATGTTTATTAACTTACAAAAGAATTTTCTCTGCTGCGAAATTTCTCCGAATTTCTCTTCTTTCGAAATATTCTGAAACAGACAAACAAAATTTTCGAAATTAATATAAAAAATTATTACAATTACAAAAAATTAAAAACAGTCGCTACAGTAATTTATGCAAAATAATTATTTTTTTATCAACAAATATATTGTCCAAACGTATTTATCAATTTTATGAAATTATTTCAAAAAAATCGTTTTAATTTATCAAAATTCGGAAATGGGAATTTTCAATATTTTCATCAAGTGTTGAGATTATGACAACAAACACAAAAATACAATTTATAATAAAACGAAACTTGTTTAATTATAAACCAAATGATGTTTTGAAGAAAAATTAAAACAACTTGCAATGCATACTAAACGTGAAAATAAAATCATTTAGCTTTATATGATCGTTTTACGATGAGAAATTAGTACTTCGCCATTGCGACATTATAATTTAGGTCCAAATGGTTTAACATGTCCAGATATAAATGTTAATACGAGCATTTTATATGCGGAATGCAGTCGCGAAACTCAAGTCGCTTTTTTAAATCGTCAGTACGTATATGGTCGAAATATGTTGAAACGTAACAGGGCAGTGTTGGTTTGTGCATGCCTCCCAGTATATAAGATCGTGACTGTTGTACAGATTTTCGTTTTCCATGCTTCTCTAAATTCAAAATTCAAGAGCGTTACTCTTTATATCGGCAACAAAAAGCTCTTTTAAACAAATTACAATAACTAAAAAAGCCCTCCAACCGCAACATCTATACGGATATATAAGGGGATATTCTACACTTTCATGAATAAAATATTATAAAATATGTACAGTATAGAAATATATTCAAGAAAAATAAAAAATATCTCTTCTATAATTTACTATCAGTGACAATAAAGTCGATTGAAAAAAGCTTTTTAAATTTTATGTCGAATATTAAACAAGTAGTGGCATCTCTCAACCATATAGGTAACTAACACTGCTTACATGATAACGCGGAAGAGTATATCGCATTGCATAAAGAAAGGGGATACATAAAGTCGTAAACAAAATTTTGCTTAAGTTAAAAAAACAATTAAAAAAATTTGTTTTTTTACTTTCACTTTTACTTATTTTGCTTAATAAAATTATTAATTATTTTTTTCTGTTAAAACTTATTATTGTTTAATTTATAAAATTGGTAAAATTAGTAACATTTTAATCCAAAAATATGTTAACAAAATAAAAAACAATAAAGAACTTTCATAAAAAAATAAACAATAATGATAATGAAAATTTTCTTAATATTTTACAATTATGCAATTTTTTTGCTTTCACCATCTATTATTAATTATACTTATTTTGTAAAAATTTAATAATGTTTACTTGGTAAAATAAATAAAATTTTAATTCAAAATTATGCCAACAAAACAAACAACAATAAAGAACTTTCATAAAACAATAAACAATAATGATAATAAAAATTTTCTTAATATTTTACAATTATGCAATTTTTTTGCTTTCACTATCTATTATTAATAATTATATTTTTTGTAAAACTTTATTATTGTTTACTTGGTAAAATGAACAAAATTTTAATTCAAAAATAACAAAAAGCCAACAAAACAAACAACATTAAAGAATTTTCAAAAAATATTAAACAATAATGATAATGAAATTTTTTCAATTTTTTACTATTGGGCATTGTTTTTGCTCTCACTATCTATTATCAATTATATTTTTTGTAAAAATTTATTATTGTTTGCTTGGTAAAATTGGTAAAATTAGTAAACTTTAATCCAAAAATGTGATAAAATATCAACAACAATAAAGAACTTTCATTAAAAAGTAAACGATAATGAAAATAAAAATTCTTAAATTTTACAATTTTGCAATTCTTATGCTTTCTATATTTTTAATAAATTTTTTTATAAAAACTTATTATTGTTTGCTTAATAGTAAAATTAAAAAAAGTGAATGTAGTTATAAATAATAATAAATGAATAATAAAATAAATAATATTATAATAATAAATAAATAATTCATAGTTTTATAAAAATTTAGTAAAATTTTAATCCGAAAAGTCAGAAAAAACAGACAGTAAAGAATTTTTATTCAAGATGTAAACAATATGATAGTAAATATAAAATAAGAAAAACAATATAAAAACTAAATTAAAAGTAAATAAAGAAAATATTTCCAAAGTCTTTAACCCAGAACAAGTGAATAATTATTTTTTTTTATCATAATAATTGATAATGAATAAAACAACCAATTAAGAATAAAGAAACAAAAGAAACTAACTTGATCGTACAATCGAGTAATTTAAATTGCAAAAAGAAATTTGCGTTTCAGCGGAAATTCCGAGTTGCACTTTTTTTAAACATATAAGAAAAATTAACAATTGTAAACATAGAAAAAAAATTAGCAATTGTAAATATAGAAAAATAATTAAAAATTGTAAGTATAAAAAATTAACCATATTGTAAATATAAGAAGAGAATTAACAATTATAAATATAAGAAAAGAATTAACAATTGTAAATATTAAAAAGAAATAACAATTGAAAATACAAAAAAATAATTACCAATTATAAATAAAAAAAATTAACAATTGTAAATGTAACAAATAGGTATAAGTAATAATGCAAATATTATTTTATTAAACACTTTATTTTCAATAATGTTCTTTTTATAAAATCTAAAAGTAAATTTTCATTATAAGTAATAATACAATAAGAGAAAAATATTTGGCTATTGATAACAAAAAATTTGCATTACAATTCAATTTTGCCTTCTTTAGCAAAATACAAATAAATTTTAATTTTATTTTATAACCCAACAACTATTTTGGAAATAAATATTACTAAAAAATAAAAAAAGTTTATCTCTTTTGTATAAATAAATAAGTAAATAAAAAAGTTTTGTTACACAATTATCAAATATTTTGTCATAGTAGAATATTTTTCTTAATTTATTTAAATAATTGTACACATTTAGAATTATTGTTACAACAACAATTCATAAATACATATTAAAACTTATTGTTGCAATTCTAAATATTTAATTTAGAATTATATAAATTTTTCTAAAAAATAAAACGAAAATCCTGAATTTAATTAAAAATAACTCCAGTTATTATTGTATTTTTGAAATCGATTTTCAAATAAATACAAAATTAAAATTGACGATGAAATTAATTAAATGCTGTTGACATAATTTCAATAAAATTTACAATTAAATTTTATTTTCATCAAAAGCAATTCAGGATTTTTTTACAGAGAATATAAAATTAAAAATTAAATTATAATTCAACTAAAATACCATAAAAAATAGATAACGAAGAAGTGAAAACATCAACCAAACCAATAAACAAAACACCGCAGTTACTACCGCATAATGAGCAATTCTCAATCTAGAAAACCAAATAAAAATAATTAGTAATTTATTCATTTTTATTATTAAAATATCAAAACAATTATTTAAATAATTATTTTATTTTATATAAAAATAATAATTTATTCGCATTTTATACTTTTAAACAAATTTTTTATTAATTATTAAAAAATGTTTACCTCCTGTAATGAATTTTTCCTTCCTCAATTGTATCCATTGTATCTTTTAAAACAAAAAGACGAAGGCCTCTTACGTGATAATGCATATAATTCTCCCAATCCAAATCATTCAAATCAAAATCAAATTTTTGTCTATCTAAAGAATTCAATTTTTTAAATAATGCTTGATTGCTGTCACTATGAAAATTCCACTCTTGACTCGAGAAATATGCAATAACACCCATGAATTTGTGGATTTTTTTATATGCCTTCAGTAACCTGTAAAATTTTTATTATTAAAAAATCGTCCTTGATAAAAAATAAATTTTATTTAAATTTCACTTACATTGGCTTCTTTCCCATAAGATACAATATACAATCGACTATTGCAGCTGGTACCAAATGCAAAAAGATCATACAAAAAGTATGTAACCAAAAATTTTCATTCAAAATCATCACATTATACCAAATTGTATTTTTACTCGGCAATTCAAATCCAAAACTTTGATTTAAAGCCATAAATCTCCCCCAAGTAATTGGTTTTAAATTTGATGATATACAATTGAAAACTGGAGGTTCTTCCTCGATTATTAATTTTTCATTCCTTGAAGAAAATTTTCATTATTAAATGTTAAATAGTTTTTATTATTAGAAGTGTTTTTTATTAAATTATTAACTATTAAGTTATTATTAAAGTTTAAAGTTAAATAAATAATTGAATAAAATAGAATTAATTGAATTAATTAAATTAATTGAATAAAATAAATGTAAATGTATAAATTTTGTATATAGTTTTGAATACCATTGTTGAGCAATATCCCAAGCAGCAACGACAATATTGTTGATGACTATATCAGCGGGAATGATTTCTGCGACATTATTTGGCACACAGTGGAGAGTGCGAAGTAATCCAATTCCAGAACCCACAACAACACCTGTGGCTCCATAAAGATTGTTTGTCCAACCGGCGATTGGCTCCTTCCATGTTGACACGACAATCGATGGACGAACGACACAAATTGGAATTCCAGGCGAATATCTTCTTACAGCTTCTTCAGCCATTGCCTTTGAGAAGGCATACGAATTTGGCCATTTTCCCAAAAGTCTAAAAGAAAACATTCATATTTCACTATATTGACATCAATACAATTTGGTAGCAAATAAATTTTTTATTAAATTCATTAAAAATAAAATTATCAAGAATATTTAGAATTTATCAAATTTAAAATTATTACATTAGAATTTTAGATTTCCATTAGAAGTTTAAATATTTAAATATAGATTTTAATATTTTTAATATTTCCAAATTATTAATAATAAATATTTTGTTGATATTTTTAAATTAATGAATTATTAATTATTAATAAATGTTAATAAAATATTAATCTATTAAGATATTCTTTCAAATTATTTAAAATTCCTTTTCGAAATTTACTAAGTTAATAATAATTTCTTATTCGTTTCTTACAAGGGAGTCAAATACTCCAATTGTTCATCGTCCAACAAATCCAAAAGGCTCAAAAGTTTATTCACGTCCATTGGAGGAGGATAGAATTTTTCATCAATATCTTTGGAAATGCAGTGTGCAAAAGCAGTCGATATGTGAACAAATGCCTGAAAAATAAAAATATCAAGTTAACTGTTAAATATAGAACTATTAAACCAATTAAAAAATAATCAATTATTTACAATAATATAAAAAAATAATTTTAGATAAAAACCTTAAGATTCTTCATTTCCTTGGCAAGCTGGAGCATTAATTGCAAACCTCTCACATTAATATTTACAGCCTGACGAAGCTTTTCATCAAAACGAACAGTCGCTGCCGCATGGAAAATTATGTGAGTATTTTTGATAATTAATTCCCGATCGTTCGGAGATAAACCCAAATCAAATTTTTCAGTGTCACCTTCAATTATAAAAATTTTTGACGCATAATCCGGTTGTTCTTGTTTTAATCTTTCGTACAACTGAAAACATAGAAATTAGAAAGAAAACAAAAAAAGCTTTAAATTAAAAGAATTTGACAATTAAACAAATAAATAATAAATAAAATACAAATAAAATAAAAAAACAAATGAAATAATAAAAAATTAATAAAACTTGCAAAATTCTTAACAGAATAAAAAATAAGACTTAACAGTATAAATATTTATTTTACAAAAAATATTTCTACTTACAGGATCATCGAAATGTTCTTTAAAACGTTCCTCTGGAGATTTTCCTTTTTTAGGCCTCAACATCATGTATAATTTACCCATATTAGGAAAACATCTAAAAATAAAAAATAAATCTTTATCTGCAATCTTAAATGTATGGTTCAATTGACAATTCATAGAATCTTTTTGTGTTAATAATTGATTTAAATATATTACAATCACAAATTAGATATTCAAATTACAACTAATGAATTTTTTGAAATTTAATAATTCTTTTCTCTCTCTTCGCTTGGACAAGAAACATTTGAAAATTCTCTAGTTCAATGGCTTGAATGAAATTAATGTAAATTTTAATCATTGTTTTTTAAAAATAATACATCCGGTGACTAAAACACGATTATACATATATATTGCACTCAAACGAATTGATTTTATATATTCCTTAAAATAATACATTATTCGAAACATCCTTGAATAAATTTAGAGAATTCATTAACTTTAATTATAAATTAAATATTTTTATATAATACCATGATTATTATAGTTAATGCAATACTTAAAAATTGTTTAATATTATTTTAATCAATATTTAAGTTTCATTCAATTAAATTTGAAATAATTTCCAAAAATTCAATTCCAACAAAATTTACACGTATAAAAATAAATTAATTAATTAATTTACTTTCCTTAAAATATTATGAACACATTTTCAATATAATCATGAAAATAAATAAAATACTTACCTTAGAACTTTTTCCAAAAGTAATTTTCCAATAAAACCAGATCCGCCAGTTATGAAAATATTACAATTTGAATAAAATTCGGTAACATCACTTTTTTCAGACACAATTTCGTTGTCTTTTATCATACGTATCATTTCTTCAATATAATCTTCACTTGTTCTTTCAACAGACATTTTAATAATTTTTTTACTCACAGATTTCAGTTAAATTGAAAAAAAAATTATTTAAAAAAATAAAACAAATTTTAATAAAATAAAAAACTGTCAGTTTCATGAGTTCTAAAAAGATTAATTTGTTAATATTCTTTTAATAAACCAATGTTTTTTTTACTTCTTTCTTTATAACAGGAATTTATTTTGAAAAAGAAAATTTCAAATTCGACTGAACAGCAAACAGAACGACCACTTTCTGTGGACTTTCTGTTGTTAATGATGACTCGAAAGAAGTGGTAGCTATAAGAGGGGCGAAAGGTAAAGGAATATGATTTACTTTGGATTATTTTTATATAATTTATTTATATATATTTAAAAAAAAATTTTTTTTTAAATTTTAAAAATCTATTTTAAGAAATCTATTTTCAATTAAAATACTTTTTTGGAATTCTATTCATTATAGTATAAAAATTATTTCAAATAGAAATAAATTTCTTTTACTTTTGGCAAAAAATATAATTAATTTATCACGAAAAATGTACACTTTTTTCTGCTAATTTTTTTGGAGGTTTTTATAGATTTATTTAATTTAATTTCAATTAAAAAAATAAAATCTTTTTTAAATATTAAATATTCGGCAGAGTCTTAGAAAAATATTTTTATAAATATCAAAATGTTACCAAAATTGCATTTTATTAAATATTTTTCTTACTTTAAACAATTTTTAATCAATTTAACTTTTAGTGATTGTAAAAAAATTATTACTCCCAGTGATTAATTCACTGTAATTATATTTTTTTTCTTTTCACTTGCGCTTCTCAAAAAAATAAAAATTTTAGGGGAGGAGGTGTCAGCAAAATATTGCGCACCATTGTCAACCGAAAATAAAAAAAATTGCCATAATATATGGAGTGATGGGGGAAAATAAAAAAAAATATTTATCACAATATCGACGAATTCTTACCAAAGTTGATAAAAAGAACTGTGGACGCAGAGAACTTACATATATCCATATTTGTGTCATTGACCTTTTATGCTCAAATTATCAAACAAATATTTGTTATTTAATGCCATTTTTTGGTTACAAAGCGATCAATCATAACTGATTGATGCAAATAAATTATCTAAACTTATCGACAATTTGAGAAAAGTGACACACATGTCAACATAACCTCCAATTTGGAGATCACAAATATGACAAATATCAAAATAAATTTGTAATATTTGTTATACTTATATAGCTCAAAATTTCGAAGCTTTGCTCAATATAAACAATAGAAACAAATATACACATGAAAACTTCTGTATATTGATGAATATGATCGATTGCGAAATATTATGCAAACGATGATGAGCCATGATAGCTCCACTTATATTTTTGCTGAAAACTCGAAAGAAAACAATTCTACTCACAATAAAAGCGAAAATTATTTAACCGGGGAATTGATAAACTTGCTTCTTAATAAATTTATTGGAAATTTAACTTGATTTATACGAAATTCACTGATTTTCAGAGACACGATTACATTGTTGTTATTTACATTTTTGTAGCAGAAACAAAATGGAACAACACCGTGAAGTTAGTACTGCGTGCAGTATGCGCAGTGTGGTATAATTTGCGGTCATGTGACAGCGGGAATTTAATTTTGGACAAAAACAAATTGAAAAAATAATTATGAAAGAAAAAATTAAATAACAAAGGTGACAAGATAAAATAAAAAGCAAATAAACTTTACATTTAACAAATAAATGTAAAAAATTAATTAAAATCGAGAGAAATATAAAATAATTGGAATAGAAAATAAATTTATATTATTTATTACTGAAAAAATTATTCAAAATAATATAAATAAAAAATAATAAATAAACAATTAATATTAAAAATAATTGTCAATTATAAAATTTTTTTATATTAAAAAATTCACCAGAAATATATTTTTTTCTAATGTTGATAAAACGGGAGGGGGGTGCTATCAATATATTACTTATATTAAGCAATAAATTTACGCAATTAATTAAAAAAGCGTAAGAAATGAGAGGGGAGAGAGTAATTTGATAAAATTACACATACCGCAGATGATTGATGTAAAAACTAATGGATAAATTTACAGCGCGTCATGCGAGCATAACCTCAATTTATCAATTCGCATTTATCAAAAATTTTTTTTAATTTTTACTACTAATATAGCTCAATATTCCATATTTTCGCTCAACATTTACGATTTAAACAAATATTCATATCAATAGTGATGTTTATTGACAGATGCGATCAATTGTAAAATATGCTAACGATGACGCGCACCGATGGCGTCACTTATATTTTTGCTGAAATCTCAAGAAAAAACATGTTTTACTCACATCTACTGTGAAAAACTTGGTACCAGGGCATTGAATTACTTGATTCATCTTAGATTCATGGAAAATTTCACTTGATTTTAATGATATCCGTCGATTTTTGGGGACACGATTACATTCGTGTTCTTCACATATCTATGGGCAAAGCAAAATGGCGGACAGCGCCGTGAAGTCAGTACTGTGTGAAGTGTGCGCAGAAAGGTGATGCGCGGTCACGTGTCATGGCGGGAGTTTAATTTTAGATTTGAATTTCCAAAAAAATTTATAAAGTAATTATGAAAGAAAAAATTGAACAATGAAGTTAATTAGATAAAATAAAAAGTAATTAAAAATTTGCATTTAATAAATAAGTGAAAAAATTAAAATAGAATGAGGAAAAAAATGAAAAATAATTGGAATACAAAATAAACTATCTACAAGCGATTATTCTGTTTAAATAATAAAAATAAATACAAAAAATATTGGAATATTAAACAAAATTAGTAAAAATAATAATAATAAAAGTAAAAAAAATAAAATAAACAATATTAAAAAAAAATTTTTTATATTAAAAAAATTCACCATAAATATATATTTTTCTAATGTTGGTAAAATTTAAAATTAACTTGTACTTAAAGCTGTGTTGAATTTTTTATTCCACACTTCCGTACACTTGGAAGGGGATTATTTTTTTTTTTAATTTTTTAAAAAATTTAGAAACTTGGAGGGGGATAAATATGTTGTAAATAATTAATGTTGTATTGGAGGGGGATAATTTTTTTATAAATTTATAATAAATAACTGTATATATTTTAAAATAATTACAAAATTAATTAATTTATTCTAAATATTATGCACAAATTTTTGACAAAATAATAAAAATAGGTAAAAAATAAAATAAAGAAGAAAATATAGTAAATAATTATTGTAAATTACTTATTAACATTAGAATTTAGTGAACAGAATGTTTTTTAACTTATATAATTAACGATATTATAATTAGACAGGTAACATTAATATGAATTATAATGAATACCTAATTTTCTTCTTTGGAAATTTGTTAATCCATATCTATATTATTACCTTAAATAATTTACCCAAAAACATCTTAAATTTTATCTTTCTAAAAAAATAATTCGAATTTCTAATTTTTAAATACAAATTTATTGATATCTTGAATGATTCTTGTACCTCAACAAGAGAAAATGTTGACAATGAACTATTTTTAAAGATATCATAATATAATGCGGTGAAATGATTCTACTCGTACAATATATTTTTTTTCATATAAATTCGTGTTTATTTTCTGACACTAATCGCTTAAAATTTGTACAATAATTTCTAATTCCTCACACTCGATTCCCAGACATTCAGTTTGTTTAATTCTCTTTTTCTTTTCTTCTCCACATTATCGTTCACAATCCACTTTATTTCGATGTGCTTTTATTTAAACTTTTCAAAAAGAAAAAGAAATTTTAAATCTATTTTTCAACATTTTAAACGATAAAAGAATAAAAATTAAATTAAACTTTAATTTTAATTAAACTGAAACTGGTGCAAAAATTATTAAAGCAACATCGAGATGGATTAAAATGGAAAAAAATTTACATATATCACACATTCGTTAAATTTTTCATCAATATTTACACTATCGTTGGAAGTTTGACTTTTAATACCTTTTTCAAAAAGTAAAATTAATTTTATAATTCAATTAACCAACGATTTAAAAAAAATTATTATTGTATATTAAACGAAAAGTTAACGATCGAAGAACTTTGTTTTCTTTGCGACTGTAGTTTCGGACTTATAAAAAAATATTTATGTACAAGTTTCTTAAATAAAAAAAAGCCATTTTCAATACAATCGCAGAAGAAAAAAATAAGAAAGTTCTACTTTTCTTTGTAATTCTTTAACAATGTGTTTTAGTTTCTTTTTTGTCAATGTTTATTGAACAGAAACTAGTGTTTTTTTTCAAGTGGAACAAACATCAAGATTCTACGTTTAGACAGTTAAAAAACATGATGTCAAACAAGAAATAATATTTTTTAGAATTACTTGTCTTTGTTCCGTGGAAGAATTTCACTGTCATCTTCCACCGACTGGTTTTCTCATGCAATTTTCATATATATCGTACGATCGCGCATTTTACTTAATTTTAATTCCCTTAAAGCGCGTTGCGCCTCAATTGGTGATTGAAAACAAATACGAGCATCGCCAGTTGGCATTCCTTGTTCATTGTAACGACGAATTATTTGTTCGCGTTTGATTTCAAAATCGCAGAAAAATTCAATAATCTCATCGATACTCGCTTTAAACGGAACATTTTCAAGTGAAACAACGCAACCGGGCTTTCCAAAAACATGATCAACATGATCCATTTGTCCAGGATGTCGTGGTGGCATCATGTGTCGTGGCATTCCCATCATTCCAGGCGGTGGTCCTCTTGGTCCAAAGCCAAAACGTGGATAATGCATTGGCCCTGGAAAACGTGGCCTCATATCATGCATTGGATGATGATGATGATGCATTGGATAATGATGTGGTATTTGTATTTGCGCCGAATGACTGTCAGATATTCCCAAGGTATCCAGCATTTTAGAACGTGGCACCAACATTATCGTCGGTACATTCTTTCCCAGGGGTAAACCATTTTTACCAATTGCACGCATTGCCTCCTCAGATGTGTCAAATTCACAGAAGCATTCGCCCGCTGGTTTTCCAGATTGATTCAGAAGCATATGTATCCTGGAAAATAAATTATGAATATAAGTCTTTGCACTCGATAATTAATTTTAAAAAAGTAGTAAAAAAAAGCAGTTTAAGACTGTAAAAAGTAGCTATCGAAAAATTAAATTTGACGTCTAAAAAAATTCATTTCAATCGATTCACAATTTTATAAATTTTTGTTTTTTAATTAATTGGTTTTATGAAATCTCATTAAAATAGTAGATAAGTATTGAAAATAATTGAATTCTTGCGAAAAATTTTCTTCACATTTTTAAAAATAATTGAATTATTTTAAATAGTTTTATTGAAATTTTTTGAATTTCTTCTAAGAATGTTATTAAAAAATTTTTAATTGTTCCTAAGAATTTTATTGAAATTTTTTTAATCGTTTCTAAGAATTAAAATTTTTGAGAATAATTTTTTATTGCTTTGAGAATTTAAGGTAGAGCCAATTTTCAAAAAGAAGAAAAATGTATCTTTTAGTGTCACAAATCTAAAAAAAAGTATCTAAATTGTAGCAAATTCTACAAAAAGTTGTAAATAGTAGGCTGATATAATTCTATTATTCTTTTTCAATAAATTCCTTTCTCTTTTTCATAATAAAAAAAAAATCAAAATAGTTTCTCACCTGTGTGGTACAATGCCAATATCGGAGAAAAAATCCAAAATATCTCGATCGTTTGACTGATAAGGAAGTCCCCGCATGATAATACAATCAGATTCCGAAGGAATTCCATTTTCCTCCTCGTATTCACGTTTCTCGCTCTCGAACAAAGTTTCCGAAATTGATGAAGCCGTGATTTGTTTTGGTCCAATTTTCAAAGTTTTCGTAAGCGCCGCCTCGGCGTCTTCAATTTTCTCGAAATGCAAATAACCCAAATATTTTGTACTACCGGAATTCTCCATTGTCTTAATGAAAACATCATTTATCTTTATGTCTTGAAAGAGATTGGAAATGTCCATTTCTTTGGCGTACGATGGTAATTCAGTGAGAACAACATATGACGATTTTACCACAACTTCCGGTGCCTTAACAGCATCCGCCTCAGGAACATTATCATCGTCAATTGTCGACGAATTTTTTACATCCTCAGATGGAAAATCATTTTCAACCGGTGAAAAACTAGCCCTATTGTCTCTATCACATGACGGATATGAATCGACTGTTTTGTCAAATATCGATTCCTCGAGATGGAGAACCTCAACCTCGGAGCCACGTACATATTTCGGCGATTTAAGAGCCTGCTCTTTAGCGTCATTTTTTACGAATTTTATATAAGCGATACCAACTCTATTGCCATGATTATCGTTTATTAGTTTGAGACCATCTTTCCTGATGAATAGACCGGAGAAACCGTGACGTACATCACTGTAAGTTGCGCTCAATGGCATATTTCTTACTTCGACGCAATTTCCACTGTCCATTGTTGATAACGTCGATGACTGATCATTTTGTCCAAAACGAGAAATTGGATTTCTATTAAGTCGATCGTTGGATCTATCGGACTTGTCGAATGATGGACCCTTGAAAGCAGAAGCTTGAAATGCGTGAGGATTCCTTCTGCTGTCTAATTCTTGAACTTTGTTCATAAACGCATTACTTCGATTACGAAAATTATTTGAATTATTAAATAAATTGGAATTCTCCTGTGATGAGCCGAATGGTCCCGAACGATTTTGAAAACGTAACGAATCCATTCGTCCATTATCGCCCCACGGTTCACGAGGACCACGCAATGAATTCAGTGAATTGCCATTATTACCAGAGAGTGAATTATTACCCAATTGGGATAATTGATTGATACCTAGATTTGGTAATCTAGCCGACATGAGACTACCAACGCCATTTAATCCATTTAGAGAGAATTGTTGAGCTAGAACTGAATTTCCAAATGGTGATGGTCTATCATCTTGCGTTGGTAATGCGGCAATACCAGCTCCAAGAATATTTGGTGCAATTACTCCAATTTGTTGGGTACGTGGTGGTACCTCCCAGACGCCATTTTCAGGTAGGGGTTTCTTCGGTTTTTCCTTAGCGAATTGTCCCACGCAAACAATATCGTTCGTATTCTCCTCATCATTACAATCCTTTCGTCGATCATTACGTTTAAGATCACGATCCTTGGAACGTGTTCGATCACGTGACTTCGAACGATCACTACGACGACGACGATTTCTGTCCCTTCTGTCACGATCACGATCACGTGATCGACTTCGCTCCCAACGGCGACCACCACGATCACGTCCCCTATCACGATCACGATCTCTGTCGCGATCACGACGATCATTCCTGTCGTTACGTGTTCGATCTCTGTCGCGTGATCGTGAACGTGATCTTTCGCGTTGTCTCTCCTTACGATCCTTATTGCTCGTCTCATTTTCAGTGTCGCGCTCTTTTTCTCGACGTGTCGCCTCACCTGGCGATTGTTGTTTCGCTGGAACTGCTGGTACAACTGGCACCGGTGTTGTTGTTTGCATAAATGTCTGTAACGACAAACTCTGCTGTCTCGCCACCTCAATCACCTTTTGCATTTCCGTTCTTGAACTCAAGAGTAATTTTATCTTCATTTCTTTGATTTTACCACCGTCCTTCATCATCGCCTGTCGCGCATCTTCGTCGGTACTGTAAGGGGGTGAAATGAAACGCTTTACTAAATAATTCATTTCTCTTTAAAAAAAAAAATTTAACCTAATAATAAAAAAATTACTTGAATGAAAAACTTCTTTGAACTTAAAAAAAAGAAAAGTTAAGAAGAGTGAATAAAGATTGTTTGTTTTAATTTCAAGGAACGAAATCGAAGCAACGTTGAGATTTTAAAAATATTTCTTTTTCTTCATATTGACGTGGAATTGATTCTCACCTGAATGCTATGAAAGCATCTCCAAGTTCACCACCAACGATGTGTACGCCGCCTTCCGGTATGCTGAGTCCGCGAAAGAATTGGCGGATGTCCAGGGCGTTTGCGGACCACGCCAAATTTTGTAGTCTAATTATGACGCTCATTTTGTTTTTTGTTTTGTGTGAGTGTTTTTTTTTTAATTAATCTGCAAATTTAAGAGAGGGAAAAAAATTACGATAATTCGAAGAATTGATACACATAACAAATTATTGAGATACATGAGAAAATTTCATTTTTGAAACAAGTTGAAAAATTTCTGTTGGAATTTTTCTTTAATACAGAATAAAATAATTAACAGTAAATCAAATCTTTAATGTTCAAGTAATTTAATAGTAAAGAAAATAAAAACGACTGATGTCCGAATGTCTTCGAATTTGTTATTCTTATGGTTAAATAAATTTTAATAAATATTTTACAATTGAAGGGAATTTTGGGAAATATTTTTGTCAGTAATGATTCCAAATTATTTCTCCGGCTTAAAAAAATTAGAAAACAGAAAAGTTCAGTAAATCAAGAATAGAGTTATATGAAAAGAAAATATTTGAAAAGAATTTTATTAAAATAAGAATTTTTGGGAAATATTTTTATCACTAATTATTATTCAAAATTATCCTTCTTAAAAAAAATAATAAAATTTAATGAATTAAGAATGGAATTATTAAAAAGACAATATTTGAAATGCACTTGAATAAAAAATGGAAAAAAATTTAATCTCACTCTCAAAATAAAAATTAAAATGAAAAATCTAACTTCCAATAATTATATTTTTGTTCGATACGACTAACTTGGTCGCTTTCATCTATTATTATTTATTTAGTTAAGACTTTAATCATTTAATCAGGCTATTATTTAATTATAATATATTAAAATTATTTTACGAAAATACTTATTTTCATTCTTCACGATATTAATCGTAAATATTTTCATTCATTTTGTGAAAATTATTTAATATTGTAATTGTTGTAATAAATTTATATATTAATTGTCGTTAATTATCGCACTATTTTCGATAATTTAATTAATTAATTAATTAATTACATTATTTAATATTGTAAAAATTTATTTAATTACGTACATAATTAATTCAAAACATAACTTCATTTTGGAAAACTATGCAATATTGTAATTTTTGTAATAAATTTCTATATTAATTGTCGATAATTATAACACAGTCCAATAATTATCTAACTATTTTCGACAATTTAATTAATTAATTACAGCAAATTTATTTAATATTGTAAAAATTAAATTAATTAAGTACATAATTAGTTGAAAAAATATAGGATAACTTTATTTTGAAAAAATATTTAATATTGCAATTAATTTTTCTTAATTGTCGATACACTGAAAAAAAAATTTATTTGATTCAAATAACTGATTAATTGACTATTATCAATTAAATATTTAATTGAATCAAATAATATTTATTGGAGTCAATTAAATGGTATTTGCTTCAAATTCTGAAATTATTGGTTCAAATGCCATTTAATTGACTCCATTAAATATTTTTTGATTCAAGTAAATATTTAATTGATAATAGTCAATTAATCGGTTATTTGAATAAAATAATTTTTTTCTCAGTGTAATTACCGCACCATTTTCGACAATTTTTTGAATTAATGGATTACATCAAAATTATTTAATATTTAATTCTTGTAATTAATTTTCGATAATTATCGAACTATTTCCGACAATGTTATTAATGAATTATTTAATTTATTACAACAAAATTACTTAATATTACAAAAATTAAATTAATTGAATACCTAATAAATAAATAAACATAAATATTGTAATTTAATTATTACAAAATATTATAATTATTTATTTTATTAATTTATAAAAACTGATTAGTTTTATTCAAAATATATTCTCAAGTGACAAGAATGTTTAAAGATCGAAGTAGGCAATCGAAAATTATTTTATACTAATTGTGAATTGTAAAAGAATGCAAAAAGTGTGCCAAGGTCAATTATATGAAATTCACACTCTTATGCACTGGTAGTAATTAATTGATTAATTGTTCAATTATTAATTAATTTAGAAGAAAATCCTCATCGTTCAGCATTTCAAGGGGGATGAAAAAATATTCTGAAAACTATGAGAAAACTTTACATTTCAGTTGGGAAAAATTAAATAATTATGATTAAAAATAGATATTTTTCAAATAAAGCAATTTAAATTGTTTTATTGATCAATTTACTCCGTTTAATTAATCAACATAATTTTTTTATTTTGATTAAGATTGTAAGATTTTTTCTGCAATTATTTATATTCTACACTTTTCTCAAAAATTTCAAGAAAAGTTGAAAGAAGATTTTGTTAATATAATTATATTAAAATATTTTAATAAATAATTTTATATAATAAAATCTTAATAAACTTGTTAAAATTTTCTATTATTAAAAATATTCGTACTGAATAAAAATATTGGGTTTGTTAAATAAATATATATTAGGCATATTATATAAATATTTAAAATACATAATTTAAATTTAATTGGAAAAAAATTATTAATAGAAGAATAATTAAATAAAAATTGAAACAATTATATTAAGTGTACAGAATAATTTTACAAAGTACCGGATTGAATATAAATATCATGCGTTTGATTTCTCAATGCTATTTAATAAAATGATTAATTATTTAGCACAAAATATTAATTTAATCATTAAATTATTCGAATTATTTCAAAATAATTAATGATATAAATTATTTATACAGTTAATTATTTATTGCTGTTTGTTAAAACCGTTTTTTTAATTATTTTGTAATAATAACCGAATTTAGGCCTTTTCATTACAAAATAAGTTAATTATAATTGTATAACAATTAAATAATCATCTACTTAGTTTCTAAAAACAGCTAATTAAATTCAATTATAACTAGATTAATCCGAATTATAAAAGAGATTCTCAGGAGTTTTGAAATTCTAAATGAAAATTTTTAATTCATCGAATTTTCAAAAACCAAAAAGAAGAAACTAAAATTTATAAATTATTGAATTTCCTAAAAATGTGAATGTGTCAGAGAAAAAATCTATCTACAATTTAGTCATTAAACAGAAGATAATACCTAAAATAAAATTATCGCACCATTTTCGACAATTTTTTATTTATCAGAAAAAATTGAAAAAGTTAGTTTCAATTAATATCTTTTAATTATATTAAAAGCACCTATACAAAAAATGTTTCTGAGTAAAAAAAATCCATTGACATAATTTCAAACGAAAAAAATAGAATTTATAAAAAAAAGGGAAAACAAAATAAACGGTACTATAGTTAACCCGAATTTAGTGTTTAGTGAATATAGTGTTTCGATTTAAAAATAATTCGCTTATTAAAAAAATATTCAGTTTGAAATAATTGTAATTATTAAGAAAATATATAAATTTATTTTTCCAACTTTTATAAATCAATTTTAATAATTTGAGATTTTATGCCAATGAATTAAATTAAAAATCGAAGAACGAAATTTAGCCGAATTAAAAAAATAACTAAATTTTTTTAACGAAGGAAATTATTTATCAGCATAAAAGAAGTGTCTCAATTTTCTCAATTCAAGAAATAATATGGATTTGATACAAGAGAATAATGAAACAGCTTATTCCGAAAGAAATTTGATCAAATCGACACACGTATTGAAAAGCTGAAAAAATTGTCATCCTCCTGGAAAATGCTTCCCAACTTTGAGAGACTGCCATGGAACTGATGAAGTTCTTATTGAAGCAATGAAGTTCATGTTATTTCGATACAATGTGTGACGTTTTCTGTGGTGAATTTTTTATCAACGTAACTTGTAGATAACAGCAGCTGGATGCTAATTCTCCTCATTGAAAAAGAACAAAACAAAAATATCCTCGAAGATCAATTGAATCATTATTATTGTGCTTTGACTTGATTCAATTGCATAATTAAATTCCATTTGCTTTTTAAAATTCCTCAATTTTTTAAATTTTCATAATTTCATTTTGTGTTTAAGAAAATTAAATTATGCGGCGAAAAAACTCGAAAATTAATAATGCAGATTTTTTTTTCAGAAAAGAATCTTTGAAAAAGAATCCAATCCAAATTTTTACCATAGTAATCAAGAATAATTTTCAAATCCGATTGTGAAGTAAAAGAACCGATAATAAATCGTATCTTGAGGAAGGACTTTGTAAACTTTGTTCCAGTTTCTTTTTTTTAATGAATTAGTTAGAATGTTGAATAATTTAATTTAAATCTTAAAAATATTTTTTGTAGATTGAGAAGTAGATTTTAATAATTCTTTATTGACTCAAGATACGACTTAGTCTTAAAACAAAAAATCATTACCTAAAGTTATTTGTAGAAAAAAATCCGTCATCACCTTAAATCATCTCTTTTTTTTTTTGCTATTTTCTCTTCAATAAAAAAACAAAATCCATTCTCCTTAAAAAAGTTTTTTTTTTTTGTTGACGAACTGAAGATGTTTCTCGACAATCACGTGTCTCCGCAAATGAATCGCTTTTTAATCATCGAAGAACTCGAAATATTGAATTGTAAAATTGAAGTCACTTATCTAACGAACCATCAATAGATAAAAATTCTAACAACGAAAAAAAAATTAAATAACATTAATATACCATCATAAAAAAGGAAATCTTTATTGATTCAAAAATTTGTCGTTCTTGAACAAAATTAACCATGAGAAAATTCAAGAACTACTTACCGATACTTATTTTTTACCTAAAAAAATCTTAATTATAGGGTATATTCTTATAAGTAAGAATTCATTTTAATTTTTATCTTCCACGTAGATTAAAAAAAAAGGTAAAAAAAAATTGACCCAACAGAAAAATCACAAATCTTGTTTCGCAAAATAGAAAAAAAATTAAGAGCTAAATCTTATTACTTTTACTATTGGAGTATTACCTTCACTGAAAAATTCTTCTTTCTTCAATTTAAGTTCTTGCAGTCAGGGCCTAAAAGGTTTCGATGCAAGCTAACGAAGTCGACGAGAATAAATGACGACTTGCGACACAGCAAAATTGGTCCATTCAGTAGTGAGGAACAAGAAAATGAAGAAGCAGAAATAAAGTGCAGTTACATTCACCGCATCATTGTTAGAAACATCATCGTAGACGGCGAATTGCTCATTCTCTTTAATACACGCACCAAATCATCGCTAAGGTCCTGTAACACATATCATTTTTTGCCATGCCTCAAAAACAAAACCCCTTTCGAATTTTTTTGTTTTAATTTTTTTTTAGTTAAATAAATATATTAAAAATAATACAGAAGCGAAATTCAAAATTTAGATGTTCTATAGGCACTTTTAATACAGAAAACGAAAATTCTAATTTTTGACAAAAAGCAAAGTAGATATAAAACATTTTTCTGAATTAAAAATGAATAAATGCATTCAAATTATGAAAAAATAAATTTAGGTGAAATCCCTTTCAAATCTTTTTTAAGATTTGAAAATTATTTGTTAATTAGTTGTTGCTATTATTATTATTATTAAATATATTAATTAAGTTTAAAAAATCATTTTAATCAAACAGGCCTAATTTGAAAAATTTAAATTAAAATATTTTAATCAAAAATTCTCTTTAACAGTGCAAAAATGGAAAATTGATTTTTTTCACAGCAATCTATTTTAATAGATGAAATGCTTGAAAAATGTCACTTTTCAAAGTTATCAAGAGCTCCTAAAAATGGAATTTCGTATCAGCAAGACAATTAAAAAAAAATTGTATTTTAATTTAAAAAAAATTCAAGTCGTTTCAAATTCATTTTAGTATCGAATTTTAAACAATTATTATTTATAAATTTGTTTATTGGGTTACTTGTCCTGTCGACAAAGTTTTTAGAATGCAGAGTTTGCTACTTGATGTTCCTGAATTCCATAAAATAGAATGAATTAATCTTCAATTTAAGTTTTAATTAAAAAAATTAATAGAATTAATAACGATTAATTCTATTGAACTAGTCTATTAATAGAGATTTAAAATTTATTATAGTAATTTATGTCTTTATTTATATACAGAATCAAAATAATATAATTAAACAAATTGTTTTAATTAAACAAAATTTTTTAATTAAAAAAAATGTTTTAATTAAACGACATATTTTTTCCTAATTTAAAATTAATAATAACTAGTGAAAGAAGGAAAATGTTCTGAAAATATAAGAGAAAAAATAGAATCAAATATATTTGAATAAATAAAATGGAAACTAGTTTTAAATTAGGATGAAATATATTTAATTTTAAAGATTAAGTCGTCAAGAATTAAAAAAACCTGTAAATTAGAGTTTTACTAAATTAATAGAATTTCTTTAAATATTAATTAAATCAATAATTAATCAATTATTTAACTGAAAATTATTTTTCAGTTTAGAAAGTTTAAAACTTATTTAATTTACAATAGAGAAAATTAATATTTGTTAATTTCGGTGCCCGTAATTGTTTAATTATTGTACTGAACAATTTTTCCGAAACACCGATTTTTCATCCACTTCTTATTGAATCAAGCTGAAAATTTACATTAAAGATTTAAACGTTTTTTGTTCTTTTACTAATTATAAATATAAAAAATTAAATAAAAGGAATTGTAATAAAAAGTATAAAAAGTACTCCACCCAATTAAATTAATTTCCAGTGTAAAAAAAGTAATATATAAAAAAAAAAAAATGATTGAAAAAAATGATTTGTTTATTTATAGAAATATCTTCAATACCGGCTATTTTAAACTCGTGAGTCGAATTAAATTCTCATTTTAGATCACGTCGTGATACTTACCTCAATTCATCCGGAATTGAAAAAATTGTCAACCGCGATAAGAAAAATGTTGGAGAGATTCCATAAAATGCCTCGCTATTATACTGAAGATTTAAAATAATATTCAAAAACTCGATGAACTGTTTGAAATAAATTCAAAACAGTAACTGGCAAATGATCCAAAGGGTAAAATAACCGCTGACTTGTAAACAAGTTCAATTCCTTCAAGTTATTTGTCAAAGATTGAAAATAATTGAAATTTGATAAAAACTTGAGCAAAAGAGCAAAAGGAATTATCCACAAAATCCACAGTCCACATCCATGTAGATGATATTAGCAGATCTTGACCATTGGCATCCTTTTTTAATGGAATTCAGGTTCAGGTAAATACTTGCAATTAAAATTTTTACCGGAAATAATTAAAATGAAACTGCATTCAACAGGACTTATGATTTAATTATTAGCTTTTTTTAAAGATTATATTATTTTTTCCGCAGAAATCGTAACACCAGTTACATTAAGTAACCGAAATTTCTTTTTTTTTCAGAGAAAAAAGTTTAAAATATCCAGAGAGAATTATAAATTAAATAAGGTTCAATTATTTTTCGTTATCTGAAAGAAATGATTAAAAAACGATTTTTAATTTTTTATATGATAAACGGGATTTGTGATTTATTTTATTTATCTTGGTGATAAAATATATTTTTATTACGTGATAAGACATTCTCGTTTTAAAGACAAATGAAATGACGCTTTCACATTTAACAGCAATTACCTAGAAAGTTCGAAAAATTGTTTCCAAACATTATAAAAAGCAATGCTAACGATAAAGATGTTCTTATTTAAAAAAAAAAACAATTAAAACATTGTCAGTAATTGTATAATAAACAAATGTTTACTAATATTTACCAAACATACTCATGAAATAAATAAATTTTATTTAAGGGTAAAAAATATTTGTGTAAAATTATTCAAGTGACTTTACATAAAAATTAATAATATTCCTTTAATGTTTATCATATAATTACCAAATTCGCGATAATGAATCAAATTGACTCAAATCCAAAGTGAGTACGATTGACAAATAAATGTAGTAAATTCCAATTTGACGCAACACGTCAAGGACTCCGACCACTATCGACTATTTTATTTTTGACCTCCTTTTAATTGAACTCCAAAAGCACCTTCTTTTTTTTTGTCAAACAAAACACCTCACGAACGAAAAAATTAACGCGAGCTAATTAACATTTCTTTTTTCATAACGCGAACACTGCATAAGATTGTTTTGATGCAATATAATGCTAAAAATCATTACTTTGAGTATACAAAAAAAAATGGCTTGGAACGCTCCATTAAGAATTCCGTATTTTTTATTCAACTCAATCAACTTACAATAAGAAAAAGTTGTGCCTCAATGAATACGTCGTCCACAAATGATTCAGAATTATTGAAAATGATGAAATACTGGATTTTTATAAACCGATGAACGAATAACGCTTACTTTTTCACCAGCGTGTCGTGTAATGGCTGCCGTTTTCTGTTTTTGCCAACTTTCCCATTTCCTTTTTTGTAGTTTTGTGAACCCCGTAGAACTTCCGGTTTGTGCAACGCCGCCTATTGACTGTTTTTGTAAACTATATTTTCCCGGAATATTTTCAAATTTGTAATTAATGGTTTTTTTTATTTATAGTTAAAAAATTCTATAATTATTCAGTAAAATAATAATAAAATAATAATTTCTATAATAAAACAACAACATTTTTGTTTAAAGATTAACTTTCTTTTTAATATAACAAAATGAATTCTTATTTAAAAAAGAATATAATAAAACATTTGTTTATATTAAAAAGTTGAAAAAGGCTCTTTTATGCTATAATTACTAAAAATAATAAAAGAAAGGGTAAAAATTTTATTCTTTTTAATTTTAAAAAGTTTTAATAATTGTTCTACACACATATAGAAGTACGACGTGGGTGACGTTTAAATATGTGTGAGAACGCATACTAAAACAACTTGTGATTGTGTGCGTCAATTTGTGTTTTGAGATTGTAATCCAATTATCAAATTTGATATCACTGTTACTAGATATTTATTAGTAACATTAATTTAAATTAACAATATACAACAGAGTTATTATTACTAGTGTTATTTTTGTATTATATATAAATTAAGTAACAGAAAAGAACGAATGATGCCGAGTTCAATAATCCTAACCTATAAAAACTAATATTTTGGTTTTGATTTACAACGTTTATAACGTTTACAAGTAACAATTTACAAGAAAAGAATACATTCTTCATTAAGGTAAATCCTTTTTTTAATAATGGAAGAAAATGGAAGCAAGAGAATGAGAGGTAGAACTAGAGGTAGAGCCCGAGGACGAGCTCGCGGGCGAGCCAGAGGACGATCTAAAAAAGCGGTGAAGGTAAACAATTTCTTTACCTAAACATTTATTTATCATTCATTATATTTTATCCTCATTTTATTTAACCACTACAAACATATTTTGTTATTAAATAATTGTTATTCTTATGTTTGTATATTTTGTTCCTAACCTCAAATTTTACCGCAGGTTTAATATTTAATTACAAAAAATTTATTGTAATTAATAATTAAATATTTGTAATTTTGAATTCTATTAAAAGTAAAATAATAATTTATTTATATTAATTACTGATTTGAATTCTTTTTAAAGGTAATTGAAAGTGATGAGGAAGACACTGTACAAACTCAAGAGGAAACTCCAATGGAGACCAATGAACCTGAGCAAGAACAACAAAAACCACAGCATCAGCAACAACAGTCGCCACATAAACAACCACCTCAACAACAACCCCAACCGCAGCAGCAACCGCCACAACATCAACAACTAATACATGAAACTCAACAAATTCATCCACCAATTTCGGAGCAACAATTTGATTTAGAAGCTGATATTTCTCAATTGGAGGCTCCAACGTTCACGACAATTAATAGAGGACCTCCTGAGCCAATGCTTCGTTTGCGTTGGGATCATCGGGTTAATTTGATTGGAGAAAAAGTGCTAAATCCAATGATTCATTGTTGCGATAAATGTCTAAAACCAATTCTCATTTACGGGCGGATGGTAAATTAATAGTTTACTAAAACACTAATTATAAATTATAATTATTTTTATAAAACTAAAACTAACTAAATTTTAATTACTATTCTGATTTTATGCTCTAATTCTTATTAATTATAAGAAGTTAATTGTTTTATAATACTTTTACAGATTCCTTGCAAACACGTTTTCTGTTTATCGTGTGCAAAGAGAGAAGACAAAGTATGTCCTCGATGTAGAGAGAAAGTTTCGAGAGTCGAACAAACAGGACTTGGAACAGTTTTTATGTGTACACATGGAGGTACTCGATACGGAAATGCAGGTTGCAGACGAACTTATTTAAGTCAAAGAGATTTGCAAGTAAGTTTCCTGTCATTTTTCTTTTTTAATCAAAAGTAAATTGTTTTCCACCTCCGAATATAGCAACAAACAATATAAAAAGGAGGAATTTTTTTAATTTCCTCCTTAATTTTTTTGAAATTAAATTTAAAATTTCTTTATATTGTCAATAATCAAAAACAAAGAAGATGAAATGATACTAATAAACAATTTTTTTTCCAGGCTCATATTAATCATCGACATATATCAACGCCACTGCAACCGGTTCAGGGAATGCAGGTCGATCAATCACAATATGCTCATTCAAAATCTGAAATGGAATCACAATTATCAAAAGTCTCACCAGTTACATTGCAAAATAGTCGCATGAAATCGGCTCATATGGTGCAACCAATAATGGGCAATGATCCACGCGTTAATTCATTGGTGAATCAACAATCAGTTGAACATCGACAACATCGAACTCAATCAATGATATCAATGCAAAATTACACTCAAAATACAGCGCCACCACCCAATAATCCCCCAATGAGGACTAATTTAATAACAGTTCCAATTCAGGATACATCTGTAAATACACACGAGATTCATGCTCAACAAACTCATCATTATTATAATCCTCCTCCAGCTCAAGTGAATTATGCAAACTATAGTGTTCCACCGCCAGTTTCACAGACACAACAATATTACTCACAATCACAACATCCACCGGGTCCTTATGTTCAACCGACGCAACAACAATACGCACCACCGACGCCGACATCAATAAGACCCAGTTACATTCAGGATCCACAGTACGGACCACCGCCACAACAACCATCTCAACCTCAATGGACTCAACATCAACAACAGTTTTACAGATAGACAAAGACTTTCCAGAAAAGCGTTCTTTTAGAATCAATTCTTCAGAGTGCAATAGTAACTTCAAATTAACAGATTTATTTTCACACTGAAAAAATTGCCTAAAAACTTCAATTTCAATTGATCAAATTTTTCTATACCGATTCATATAATTTACGAATCAATTGTAAATACATTTATAATACCCAATTAATTATTAATTACAAATTTATAATTTCTTCAATTATATTTTTCTATTTTCTTTTTAATTATAATTTCCATTAAATTATAATCATTATAATTAACATATTAGTATATACGTTAATTATAAAAATAGACAGAGATTAAAATATGTTCCAGAATATTTTTCTATCAATGTTTATCGAATTTATAAAATTACACTTTTTGCCGTGTAAAGTAGTGTGATTATCAAAAAAAAAAAAAAAAAATTAATGAGTGAGAAAATAATCATGACACAAACTGCACAAATTTGGAGTGAAAACTGCACTGATTAATTATTTTTTAAAAATAATGTAAAACTGTTGATATAGGTAGTAAATAAATACATTTTTTAAATAAATTTAGTTTTCTTTAACGAAATAAACATATAACGAATAAACAAAGTAAAAATTACAAATTACGAAAGAAGGTTTTTTGATAGAAAATAATAAGACTTTTTTTGTAATTGCTTGTCGATTAATAATAAAAATATAGACTAACTAAATTAAATTTCGAACAAAAAGAAATACATCGTTTTCTTAAGTAAGACAAAAGAGATAATTTTAATTCAAATATATTAATTTTTATTTAGCAAATTTGTAAAAAATAGTATTGGGAAATGAAGACGTATTTTTGAAAATAAAAATAGAAACTTAATGGACAATAGATTTTTAATATCATACAAGTCGTAACAACTGTAACGTATGTACAAAATTTGTTAATATTTAAATACACTATTCGTAAATTCTTATATTATGAATGTTTATGTACCATTGGTGTAATTATCCAGTTTAACGTTGTTGTAAAGTACGAATTATTTTCATTTAAAAGTCGAAAATCTTTTTTTTCTAATATTCTTCTAAGTACGAGATCAAGACAATTCACATTAAACACTCAAAATGTTGAGAGAATGATTTTATACAACACATAAAAATATGATTTTTATTTACTTACGATATACGCATATACACGTCTCTGTACAGCTTTTATTTACTGTTTTTATTTTTTCATTTTTTAAATGCCTTGTTCCCTTTACAGTTATAGATTTATTAATTTTTTTTTAAATTTTATTTACAACTCATTTGCTACTTTTTACGTATATAAAATAGAACACGTTTTTTTAATTTACAATATTTTTTTTCGCTGGAAACAGAGATTCTTTATTAATTGGATCACATACATACATTGATAATTATATTATTAAAATCAATAAAAATAAATTTATTAAAACAAATAAAATTATATACTTTCAATTAATCATAATAAATTAACATAATTATGTTAAAATAAAAAAAAAATTGCGTAATAATTAAAAAAAACAATATTTTGAAGATTAATTCATTGATAGACTATAACTAAAAATAATAGTAAAAATATATTATGATTAATTATAATAAATTAATCGTTTAATAAAAATTTATACTAATCTTTCAATTTTTTAAAATTCCTATTAGCGTAAAACTTACATTCTATATATTTATGCAAATATTTTTTAATTTTTCATTTTTATCTTAAATTTAATGTAACAAAAATAAACTAAAAATTACATTATTCTTTTTACGGAAAATATAAATATTAGAGTTTCATTTAATTTATCATCACTCTTTTTTTTTTGTACGTGGGAAGACGAAATTGATCTTTAAAAATTAATAAAAATAACTGAATATAGAAAAGAAAAGATTGAATTAAAAAAGTATTAAATAATTATGTACAAAAGATTATATTATATAATTTTTTTTTCACTATAATCTTATATAATGCAAATGAGTTGTAAATTTTTTTTCTCAAGAATATTCTTATATCTATACGAATAAAATATTCGATCTTAATATGATCATTTAGCTATTTTACTAATTATTTCTTTAAAAGATCAATTACATCAGTATGTACACATAATTCTTTCGTCTATAAAAAAAGATTTCGATGATTGCTTCTTTTCCGCAAATCACATTATATTTTGATAATTCTATTTTTTTTAATCTTTTAATCTAGAAAGCATTGTTTTTAAAGATCATTTGCATATATATTTTTTATTTAAAAAAGACGAGCCACATTAAAGAAAAAGAAATTTAAAATAGACTTTTAGTAGCTGAGAATTTGAATTTTGATTATTTTATCTAAATTGGATCTTAATATTATCGTCGAAATGAGTTTCATTTAAAAAAGAATTAGAAATTTCAATTAAAATCTATTTTTATAAAAGAAAAAAGTTCCAAATATATCATTTTTTTTTTTTTTTTTTTTGAAAATTTGTGTGACTTGTTTGTTTTTAGAAGAGAAGAAAATGTAGACGAAATTTGCAAGGCAATTTCTGATTAATTTATAACGTTCCTGTTAAGCAGTATTTCTATATATTTAAAAAAATAAAATACAAGTCTCAGAGTTCTTCTTACCCAAATATAGCCATAGTTAAACCAGTTTCTTTTTTGGTAAAAACATTTCTTTTTAAAAGCTCCTTTGGGCTTCGGTACGTATCTAAAAATTTATTTGAAAATAAATTTTTTAGGACGATCACGTACTCGTCGATGGTTGACTGTGAATATTCACATTAATTTGTGGTATCAGTGGCGATGGTATCGGTTTCAATGGAACAGGTTCAGGAATTTGTACAGCGACTGGTGGTGGTGCAGGAGAATGTTTTTTACTTCTTTCCTGCTGCCAAGGTTTTGCATGATCCTTACTCAATCTTTCGCTCAAAGCTTTTAAAGCTATTTGTCTAAAATTAGAAATAAAACAATTCTTATCGTGAATTAGAATTCCTTACACACTAGAGATAAATATTGATAGAGTAAATAATTTTTAGAATTTTTCTAATATTACCTTCGTCTTTCACTGTCCTGCGGATCAATTCCAGGTAAATTTATAACCAAACCTGGAGGCGCATTCGACATGTCAAACCTACGAACAACTTTTCTACACAAACCAATACGAACAAAAAAACTGTGTATCGTATTGCTGACGACAGCAATCGGAGGTTGTAGAACATTTGGGAAAAAACTAGAAATATAAAGAAGTTTATTTAAAAAGTATAGAAAGATAATCGTATTCTAGGTAGAACTAGAGAAATGAAAGTAGATTACAAAGGTAAAAGAAATTACCTAGCGAATGTAAAATTATCTGTCATATCGCCCCGAGTCCCATTATTATGTCTCTGATAAAATCTCAAGTACGTCCAAGAAATGAATAGTCCACTAAGAAACATTGTCGGATGTGTTCCTTCCAATAGACCCAAGACCCACATCAATAGAGACACTATATAGACCATTAGAGGAATATTTCTGTTCATTATTTTTCCAATTGGTGTCTTTATTATAATATGATCAGGCATTATTTGTTTTACAGCAACACTGACTCCTGTAAGAAAAAAATACTTTCTTATTCAACCATTTCCAATTATGTGGTAGATTAAATTAGTTTCAAGATTGTAAAAAGTAAATATCATAAATCACTCATAATATAATCTAAATTACCTCCGATATAACCAGTAAGACCATGAATGTGAATATCAAAAAGTAAATCCGTATTACTTGTTAACATGTACAAAAATAAGTAAAACAAAGTAGAAAGTACAGCTACTCCAAAATTAACGACAGCAAAAAATGTCATCATTTCCATAGCACCCCATAAAGGTTCTATTAATTTACCACACAAGCCCACTGTAACAATATCAACACAAACTTCCCAAAAATGTATTTCAAGAAAACAAAATGTAAATGCTGTCCATATCCAAAATGCAGGAGGCAGCAAATAACCTGGAGTGACACTTAATGCCTTCACAGCTTCTTGTGAATATGATAAACAATAGGAAAACAAAACTACAATGCATATAAATTTGACACTAGTACTGGTATTTCCTAAAAGTGCTGCAAATTGTTGTCTTAAATAAGGAATATTCCTTCCCAAGCCCTTGGTTGTTGCCATCGTCCAGGTGTTATTTAACCTCTTTCAACAAAAACACTTTTTCCTGCTTTCGTGTTCTTCTCTCTTTACAAATAAGATATGGAGTGTTACACTTTTAGTCACGTGGCAGATATAAAATCAAAAACATCTTTTAAATAGCATCCTCAGATGCATATATCACATTGAAAATTGAATACGAATAAATAAGCTCACAAATAATCAACTGTATAAAAGAAATTCCCATGGAAATCGTGGATATTCCAAATAAATACAATGACATTCCTAGGAATGAAATATTTCCTTGAAATTTTTGTCATTAAATAATTCCCGTAATGATGGGTAATATTTCCAAACTTACAGGGGGGAAAATTCAAAGTTTTTTTATATGAATTTGATATAAATATGAATAATTTTAATAGTTCATAAGAGAAAGATTAAAATTTAACTAAAATATAAAAAATATTAATTATTTTCATTATTTATCAAATTTTTTTAATTTGAAGAAATATTTCAAATCACGTCTGCGCAGAATGCCAAAAACAAAAGGCGCGAAATATTCAAAAATATCAAAAATTTAAAAATTCCCGGTGTTATTTGATTGGTGGACAAAAGTACGACATATACGCATGCGCGACGAACAGTAGTGACATCTATGGCGCCTTTTCCGGTTTATGATGATGAAAATTTTATAATTTGTTTACAGTGTATAAATAATGTAATTAATTATTATTAATAATCTTTAACAATCTTCAAAATAGTATTTATTAAAGTAAGCATTCTCTATTACTTTACACTTCTGTTAAATTATACCAAAGTAAATTTACTGCAAAATGGCAAAATATTTTCTAACAATATTTTTCTTTTTAGGATTTCAACAATACAATGACATTAAATATTCGGATTCTGATGGTCAAAAATATGCTGTAATTATTGTTTCAATTCAAAAAAAACTGCGATTAGTAAGTACTTTTTACATTTTTAATGACATAGTGTCAGTATAATCCCAATTAGTAGAAAATATTTTTCGTTGTTATTCGCCTAATATTTTCCTGATTATTAGTAATATTTGATATTTATTTAACATTTATGCTATAAAGAATTTTACATAAATTTAAAAAAAAATTGAAATATTTAACTAATTAGTACGTTGAAATTTATAAAATTCTTTTCCTTTTATATACAAAAAATTAAAAATTGGAAACATTTAATAAAAAGTAATTAAGAAACGGGAAACGAGTGACAAAACCGTTGAGTAGATTCAAATTAAATCTTTATTTTCGTAATCATATTAATGATATTAATAGGTGAACGGAGAAACAATTATAATCACGTCGTATTAAAATATAAATGCGATATTTTTTTTTTACCTCACAGAGTCGCCTCTCCTCAGTAAGCAAATTAAAAATTATTACAAGAAAGCGTACTTTTTTCTAATCTATACAAACATGCTTCGATTTAAAATTAAATAAACAAAATTTGCAAAATTTTATCCTGCGACAGAATTATATTTGATAGTAAAATTCTGAGAAACTGGTTTCAAATTCAATCACAAATAATCATTTCAAGATGTCCTTGTAAAAGTTATCTTGTTAATCAAGTAAATTACTTTTCTTTAGAATAATAAGGGCTTGTAAAAGCACCGTTTCGTATAATTAATATTCATACGAATCAAAAATTAAGACGGAAAGTCTAATAATTAAACAAATTTCTTTTTTTCACATAAACGACCAACATTACACGCGTTTAAAAAACTAAAACGCGATTTAATTAATGCATGAGAAATACATTGGAAAAAAATTGATATTTTTCATTGAAAAGAAATGTCAAAAATGAAAATTATTTAGAAACATTTTTAACAATTAGAAATTGGAAAATATTTGCCAAAAAAAATATAAACGACAACGCGATTAAATTCTAGATACTAGAAATAGCAATTTAAAAAGAGGAATTAAATAAGACATTTAAACGTTGACTAAGAATCGATCCAAATACAATATTTCTATAAAAATAATTTAAAAAAAAACACATCAACATTTCTGGTCATGCAGAGTTAAATTGCTAAATTCTTTCTTCAAAAAATTAATTCATTACTTTTAAATTGATTGTAATTTAAAATTGTCATGAAAGCTTTGAAAAGCCTTGTGTCTAATTTCAATTAGTCTTTTCTTTCGGAAGCACTTTTAATCGAACAATCTTTCAACTATTTTCAAATATAAAGATCTTATCATTAAATTGATATTTTCTTTCTTTCTTTTTTTGTAAAATCACTTTTTAAATGTGCTAAATTTGAAATGAATACTTAAAAAGGTACATTTAAAATGTGAGAGAGATTTGAATGATAAATTTATCAAATTGGGCAATTTCACTCTGAGTACCGTATTATCCAAATCAAGATTTTGCTTATGATCGAGAACTAACGATATCACAATATAAAGGCACCAATGGGTACCAATGGGAATAACAGATTTTTTTTTGCGCGCATAACTTTCTTTTCATCATTTTTAGAATATATGATACTTAGAAAATTGTGCTATGGCTTCGATTGACTTTTTTACCTATCACACGTGATGACAATCTTGTTGGCGTTGGTCTCAATTGGTAACCACAGAAATTTTTACTAATTGCACCATTCATTTCAACATCGTTTGGTGCATTCTTTCCACCCTCGTCCTTATGTTTTTCCGCATCAGTCTCTCGACGTAATTGAACTTTAGTTTTTGCTGACAGTAATTTATTCTGAATGAGACATGATGCCGAGGGCCTCACTTCCGCATTAGGATGAATCATTAACTGGAAATAATAATTCATGTATTTAATTGTAAATTAGAACAGGGTTGCTACAAAAAATATAATTTTGTTTTTCCCAGATTTCCAGATAAAATTTTTGACTTTTAATATTTTTTGAGATAGTTCTTTGAGAATTTTCAAATTCATTTGGTTACTATTCGATAGGATAATATGAAAAATTCAGATTTTCAAAGATTTTACTTTGAAACCTTTTCAAAATTGAATTATTATCTAAAACTTTAACTAAAATTCATTTTTAAATTGATTTTTATTCAGGGTTGCCACAAAAATTTTATTTTATTTTTCCCTGACTTTTCCCTGATTTCCAGAGAGAATTTTGACATTTTCCCTGACCCTAAAGAATATTCTGATTATTATTTTTTCTTGGGAACTAAGATTTTCAAAAATATCAAATTTAAACCTTTTTGAAATAACTTATAAGAATATTAATATAAAACATGAAGAAGTCAATCACTCTGAGTGATAAAATTATTATTTTACATAAAAATATTATTACTCTAACTTCTTCGAAATTATTTTCATCATTTAAATTCAATTAACATTTTCTAGAATTTTTAACTACAATTTTTCTTTAAATTAATTATTAGTTAAAAGTACGAAAAATTTATAATTCCAAAGATTTGAATTTGAAACCTTTTCAAAAATCAATTATTTCTAAAAATTCATGCTTTAATGCTTTTAATATTAAAATTATTATCCAAAATTTTAACCGAAATTCATTTTGAAATAAATTTTTATTAGAAAATTCTACGAGAATTCAATTATTTAAATACAAAACTAAATAATTTATTGAATAGTTGAATGTCTTATAAAATTGAATTTTTATGAAGAATTTTATTAACAACTTTTCAAAATAATTAATTTCCTTTAAGGAATTTAATTAAAATTTTACAGAAATTTATTGAATTAAAGAATTTTATTACAATTTTTTAAAATAATTGGAAACTTTTGAAGAATTTTATTAAAATTTTAAAAAATAATTGAATTCATGAGAAGAATTTAATTAATAATTTATGATAATAATTGAATTCATGCCAAGAATTATATTAAAACTTTTGAAAATAATTGACTTCTTGAGAAGAATTTCGGAACCTATCTATAAAAATAACTTAATTCTTGACGAGAATTTTCCAAAAATGTTGAAAATAATTTAATTTCTGCAAAGTATTTTATTATTTTTCAAAAGAATTAAATTCCCGTGATGAATTTTGTTACATATTTATCAAAATAATTGAATTTTGGAAAAGAATTTTATTAAAATTCCTTAAAATAATTAATTTTCTGTAAACAATTTCGTTATTTATCGAGATAATTGCATTAAAACTTTTGAAATAATTGAACAGTATTTAAAAATCCATTGTGGTCAGAAATAGAAAAAAAATTTTCCAGTACTTTTAATAAAAATTCCTGACTTTTCCCAGATTTCCCTGACCAATTCTACTTTCCCTGACTTTTCCCTGAATTCCCTGATCTCCCTGACCTGTGGCAACCCTGTTATTAGAAAATTCTACAAGAATTCAATTATTTATATAGAAAAAAAAATAAATTTATTCAATAATTGAATGCTTCTAGAAATTGAATTTATTATTTATTTATTTATTTATTATTATTTATAAAAATAATTGAATCTCTGAAAAGAATATTAATATGTATGAAAATAATATTGTATGAAGGTGATGGATTTTGTAAAAAAATTTTAAATAATTGAATTCCAATGAAATTTTTATTATTTATGAAAATAATTGAATGTTTACGTAGGATTTTATCGAAAATTTTTTTTTAATTATGAATTTATTTGGGAAATTTTATTAAAATAGTAGATATTGAAAATTATTAAATTATTAAATTTTAATAACATTTTTAAAAATAATTATTGAATTTTGACGAAAAATTTTGCTATTTATAAAGATAATTTAAATATGGACGAGAATGCTTTTAAAATTTTTGAAAATAATTGAATTAGGGGCTGTCCATAAATTACGTAAGACATTTTTTTGGAAAATTTGACCCCCCCCCCTCCCCCCCCGTAAGATTTTTTACATACATTAGCGCCATTTTTTCTATTGTTCGTAAGATCTTGCTGACCCCCCCTCCCCCCTAAATGTCTTACGTAATTTATGGACGGCCCCTTAGGTAGTGCGAAGAATTTTATTACTTTTGAAAATAATTAAATTTCTGCTAAGAACTTTGTTACTTCTGAAAATAATTGAATATCTGCGAAGAATTTTGATATTTATCAAGATAATTGAATTCTTTCCAAGAATTATGTTAAAATAATAGAATATAAAATAATAATACAAAATATATATTAAAAAATTCTACTAATTTTAACAGAATTGAAACTAAATTTTTTAAAAAATATTAATTTTAAAGAATTATTAATTAAAAGTATGAAAAATTCAGATTTTCCAAAGATTTCAATTTAAAACCTTTCAAAAATTCATATATTTCTAAAAATTGTTATTATTTGATTTTATTTGAAATTGAATCATTACCTTTAGTAAATCATTGAGATCTTTACTGTAACGAGGTAGTTCTTTTAGTTCTCCATTACGAATTTTGTGCCACTCGGGACCATTTTTCGGCAAAGCACCACCACCGGCCGCTTCATAGACTGTTAAACCAAGAGCAAAAATATCCGCCTTTGTTAAATGAGTAAAATCTTCGTGAAGAATTTCCGTTGGTAAATAACGGCAATCACCCTCTTCAACCTGAGGATTATTTATTGACGTCACATGACCAAAATCACCGATCTTGTAGGTAATTTCCTCCTCAACGGTTTCCTCCTCGTCAAAACCATCATCTGCCGAATCATCATTCATAGCACCCAATTTTTTCTCCCTCGAAATAAATATATTTCCTGGTTTAATGTCCATATGAACGAGATGCATACTATGAATATATCGAAGTCCCTTCGCTACATGTAATAATAATTGTCGTATTTCCAATTCAGAGAAAAATCTCTTCTCCTTCTCTTGTTTTATTATCTCATCAGCGAGACTTCCACCATTACAGTATTCATTTTGAATTATCATATGATTATCCTCCGCCCAGGCAGAATAATATCGAACGACATTCTCATGCTTTCCAAGAACTGCATGTGCGTAAACTTCATTTAGCGCATTTTTTTCGTTAATGTTGCCCGCGACAGGTTTTAAACTCTTTTTCACTGCATACGTACAGCCGTCCAATCGATTAATACATTTGTAAACTGATCCAAATTCACCTGAACCAATTATTCCAAGTTCCAAAAATTCTTGTCGATATCGAGGAATATTCGAGTCTTGAAGTGCTACACGCTTTGTCGGTTGTTCCATTTCACTTTCCGAATCCTCAGAATCAAGTTCGAATTTTGGGACTTCTATGTCTGATGTTCTGGGAAAAATACAAATTTTATTAGTAAATAAAAATATCCCAATAATATCTAAAAATATTTGGATGGTGACTACTTACTCGAGAAGATTTCGTTTAGACCTCGTCCTCTTTTTGGCATTTAACAGCATTCCATTTGGTGTAAATGGATTTACATTAGCTGCCGGTTTATCGGTTTTCACTGGAAAACCAACGGGTTTTGGTCGTGGTTTATCGATGGAAAAAAGTCTCGAACATTTATACGGTACTGGTGTGTGAAATACACTTTTTTCTATTAGAGTCCTAGGAGTTGCTGGTGAATCAAAAAGTCTCAGTGCTCGAACTCTTTTGTATGGAGGGCTACAAGCCATTGACATTTTCTTTGGTGATCCACTTTCCCGAAGTGGAATTCTTATTTCACTAGAGGCTAGAAAATGTAAGCAAATTTTTAATTAGTTGAATTAAATTAGAAATTCAATTGATTTAAATCAATTCCTTTGATTTAAGTTTCAAAAATTTAAAACAATTATTTAACAATTTTACATGAAATATTTAATTTTCTGTTTGAAACTTTTCATGCATGCAAGTTTATTTTTATATTCTTCAATGAGAAATTTACTTCTTTATTTTTTTTATCTTAAAAAAAATAAATACTTGCATCGAGTTCAGAATTGATATTTATCATTTAATCTGACACTGCAAAAAATTAAGTTGCACAAAAAAGAAATGTTCCACATTCTTCAACGATAATAATAAAAATTTATAAAATTGTTGACAACGCACCACCGGATAAATCACTTTTTAAATTTAATTTCAATTCTTCAGATAATTTCGATGCATGCAGGTTATTTTTCATTGCAATTAAATATAAAAAAGACCTCCAATTAAAAAATTGAATATTTAGAATTTATGTTTATAGAAATTATATAAAATACGGCTATTTTCCACAATATAAAACCGAAAAATTCTGCTACAAAAATAAGGAAATAATTTAACATATTGTGTTATTTGGCAAACCACGAATATCAAATATACACAAAAATATTATTTAAAAAACAAAAATAATTGCAATTATTTTTTTTATTATTGGTAATAAATAAAATAAAACATTTAATACAGAGCAACGATACAAATAAAATAATTTTCTTTTAAGTGGATAATAGATAACCTAATTGGTTAATTAATAATAAATTATTTAATTTAAAAATATTGTGACAATTACTCCAAGTAATCTAAAAAACAATTTAATATGTTTGAAAAAAAGAAGATTAAGTTCCTAAAATATATTTTTTGAAAATAGACAGAAATAAATAATCTCTGAAACAGAATTCTTGATGATTCTTTGTTACAAAGGTTATTGAATGGAAAGAAAGGAAATTCTAACCTGTCATTGATGTGGTGGCAGGAAAATGATTATTCCTCGAAAAGGATTGAATTGTTTCGTAATCACTGCAATCCATTAGATTATTAATAGCCGATTTCGATGGGTTTGACAATGGTGATATATAAAAATCATCGATAGAAGAATCAGAAATATCATCACCGCATCCCGAACTATTAATGTTGTGATCGTCCTCGTCACATGCTTCAAAATTTAATTTTTGAGCGACTCTCATTGTTTCGAAATTTTCCGCATAAGTTAGCGTTAGAAACGCACAACTTCTGTTCACTAAAGTTTCCTCTAAAATAAATTTGTCACCGATAAACACTATCTAAATGAAAAACGTTAATTAAACACACAATTTGTATTGTATTCAACCGAATAGTGTGGCCTCCATTAAAAAACTGTTTTTTTTAATTTCGCGCATGTGCAGAAATAAATTTCTAAACTTTAAATGAAATTGTGTACCAAGCTTTAAGGTAAGAATTATTTCTGGAAATGGCCACTGATGATTAGCGCTATGCTCGAAGAGTGCCATTTACTTAAAAATCTAATTATTTATAAACTAAACAATTCTAATCGTAATATTTAATTAACAGATACATAATTCTTTAACATCTTTCTTTGAAAATGTCTTAGTAATATTTTAGATTGATTTAATTATAAACATACATGTATACAAGTAATAAAACAATAATAAACAACAATCCTAATAGTAAAAATAAATCGAAAAGGTAAAATAAACAAAATTTATTGTCAAATAAAGTTAATAAATTTTTTTATACAAAATAATTTTTGTTAACTTGTGTAAAATTTACTTTTTATATGTCTTATTTTGAATTGGATGGTTATTCCCGCTTATTTGAACTGACCAATAGAAATGCAATCTGTAGTCGGTAAAGAAGTTTTGCTATAGGTGGCTTTTAACTGTCATGGCGTCGTTGGAAGCAGAAAGAGTGGCTCCGTTAGGAAAACTGGGAAAACTTAATCTAATAATACCGTTGAAATCGTAAAGCTAATTATAAGTATTTTATGGTAATTAAGTTTTATTAAGCATGAATAATTATTATTTCATGAAAGTTTGGTTAGTATTGATAAGAAATAGTAATTATTTTGGAGAAAAATTGCATGTCAAACACAGGATGGCATATTTCTTCAAAATTATATTTACTGCAATCATGCGTATAAAGTAATGTTAACTACCAAAATTGTTGAGTAATTGTTCTTAGTTTGGCATAAATAGTTGATATTTTGCAAAATAACTATGAAAATTAAAAAAAATTTTTTGATAAAATTTGCAACAAGCAGACCTAACCTCAAATTTTTGCACAAGAGCCATCTGACAATAATAATGAAAATTTTTCCGACTTTATACGTCAGTTAGCTTTGTTTACTTATTGTCATTAAAACAATCATTAAAAGTTTGTTAATGTAACACCCAGATAAATATTTTTGTGTTTAAATATTTGTAGAAAAGAATAAATATCAAGTTAAAGTGTGTATTTAATATCAATAGCAAAATTACAGTTAATAGATATTATCTATAAATTGTAAGGAAACTTTTGTTGCAATATTAGCAGTGAACAAAGGTATTAACAGTAACATTGGAATTATTTTTCAGTACATTTTTGGAGATCATGGCATTCTGTGAGATGATGGAGGAAAATAATAGTCTTGAGGGAGGAACAGTTTTAATTACAATTGGCGAGTTCAAAAATATTTATTGGGACAAACAGGAAAATACCGAAAATCAACCTGGGAAAATAATACGACTGTGTGCAATGATGATTCAGATTTGTAAGTCGCAAAATAATTAAAATTTTTATTTAAAAAAAAATAAAATTTTGAAGTGAAATTGAATAACAAAAAAATATATTATTTTACTTGTTTTTAAGTAAATTATTGTAATTGATAATAATTTGGTCCTTTTTTAGCTCCTTCTCTTGAAAAATTTTTGACTCTACACTCCGACATAAAGTGAAACTATTCAATGAATAAACCTGATGATATCTTCACTTTCATTGCTTGTCTCTTTGAATCACAGGGGAATCACTACAATGAAGGTATATTGCACAAGGTAAATTTATCAATTATTTTAGTAATTATTTTTTAACAAAATATTCATTATAATGCATTTTAATTATCATACAGCAACTTTCTTTTGTTCCTTTTTACTTTTAGTAACAAAAGTTAGTGTATTAATTCAATTAATTAATTTTTACACTATTAATTGATATATTTACAAAATTGGGTATTGCAATGTTTATTTATTTTTTCCATATTTTATGCCAAAGTAAAATAATAATTTAAATTTAAATTATCAAAATAAAATAATTGACTTAGTATTATTTACTAATCTTCGTAAATTTTATAGTAGAAAATTTATTTTCAATTTGGATTTTAATAGTAAAATAATAAAAGAGGATAAGAATTTTCAGCAAAATTAAAAATTACTAATTATCAGATGTTTTTTAAGTATGTAAAATTTTTACAATTTATTAATCATTATAATCATCTTTATTTTCTACTTAGGTAAATATTAAATCTCCATTTTTTTAATTTAGAATTTTAAAAACAATGTTTTACAATATGCTTTAATATTGCTTAAAAGTAGAAATATTTACAATACAAATTGATATTTACTAAATATTAATTAAATATTAACAAATAATATTTATCTAATGATAGTTTAAGTAATTAATTAATAGTTCATTAATATGCTATTGTAACAACGTAAGCTATTAATTTTTTAATTTATCTTTATTTTAGTTTGAAATTTAAATGGTATTTGCATTTTATAATTTTATAAAATATTTATTTTTATTATTATTAAATAATTGATATTAATAATTAATTAATTAAATAATAGGTATATATATATTTATTTTTTATTCTGTATTTTCCTTATTATTTTTAAATAATTAACATTTATAATTATTAATTAATTAATTAATAATTATTATTTTATTAAATATTTTTTTTATTATTTATTTTTATTATTAAATAATTAACATTAATAATTATTAACTAAATAATAATTTTTTTATTAAATATTTATTTTTTATTATTTAGTTTCATTATTATTTATTTATTTAATTATTTTAAAATAAAAAGTATTTTGAATTCAAAGAATATTCCCGCTTATTTGAACTGACCAATAGCAATGCAATCTGTAGTCGGTAAAGAAGTTCTGCTACTATGTAGGTGGGCGTGGCACTTTACTGTCATGGCGTCGCTGGAAGCAGAAAGAGTAGCTCCGTTTGTAACACTTCTAATCTAATAATACTGATTAAATCGTAAAGCTAATTCTAAATATTCATGGTAATTAAGATGTATTATGCATAAATGAATAATATTTTAATAAGAGTTCGATGAGAAATGATAATAAATAATAGTTAAATGGGAAAATTGTGACAATCGTTTTCTGAATGGCATCTTTCTTGAATTTTCGTATTTACAAGAATCGCGTATATAGTGAGTATTATTACCACCATCCATTCATAATTATCATTACTTTTCCTCCAGTAACTAATTTTTTTGAGAAATAACAATTGTAATTACAAAAATATTTTGTAAAATGTAAAATACACAATCGTACCTAACCTGAAAGTTCTGATATATGCCATGGCACCGACCGCGGTCGGTAAGTAGGATTGGCGTTAGTAGTTTCAAATGATCCCTATAGGCAGCGCTTTACTTTGGCGCCGCTGTCAGTAGTTCGTTATATTGCTAATGTTTACGCATTTCTTTACTAAAATTGGTGAATATTTCAATATTATAAATAGTGTTTTGAGTACCTAATCTTTACTTACACTCAGAATTATCGTATTTGAGAAAAGTTTAATATTTCGGTTGTAATAATGATGAAATATACGATATATCTATATTGGGATTGTGTGTTTTGTTGAAGAAAGCATAATTTTGTTAAAATTGATAAAGTTTCAAGAGTTTTTTCCAAATTTTATGCCATATATTTATTGTTCAGTGAGTGTTTACACAGTATAATAATAATTTTTTAAAAATTTTTTAAAAGTGTTTTACATAACCAAAAAATACTGATTATTTTCAACAATGTTTTTTAAAATGACGACAGCAAAGTATCTTTGTTTCCTACAAAAATATGAGATTTTATTGATCTCATTAGTTTATTTATAATTTAATAATCAAATAATTAGAGAATTCAACCTTTTTTTAACACTTCTTTCTTTCATCAGATTGGTATGATTGTACGACTTTAACTTTCTTTTTAAATCCCTTTTTCTGTCACTATTGATGATTTTAATTTTTCTTTCGCCCTTTTCAGATTTCTTATCCATCACCAAATTAATGATTATTTTTTTTACTATTCTTCTATCACTAGGATGGTAGAGACTTCATTTTAATCACTCTCGTATTTTTTAAATCATTTTTCATTTAAAATTGACTCTAGTTTTTCGTTTTCTAATTAAACTTTTTTTTCAGGTCAAACTCATCACCAGGAAAATTTCATCGCCTGACGAGCATCAAATGGAAATCTTTAACTGGAGAATTCTGGGAATACATCACAATCTATTCTCTGGAAAAGGTGTAAATGTTTATTTACATAGTTTTGTTAAACTGGAGAATGATGGAAATCCATCACAATCTATTCTAAAGAAAAGCTGTAAGTTTTTATTTACATATTTCTGATAAAATTCCATTTTAGTATTTTAGTTCGATAATATTTTAGTTCATAAATCTTTGAGTTGCGAAATACGACTGCAATATTATATAGTCTTTAAAAATTTACAAATTACATTGCTTTTTAAATTGTCCCCCAATACTTGTCACTTTGTGGCAACCCAACCCTTTGCCCAAAACACGTTGACCACGTTTTTACTTCTTCATTGGCTATAAAATTTCGCGGACAATTTCAAATACGTAGAGTATTGAAAAATGAAAGTACGAATAATTTTCTGAAATTATATTGAATTTATTACTATATTTATTTTACTTACGTTTTATTATTATATTTATTATTATTTATTTATTTATTTATTTATTTATTATATTATATTAGAATTATAATCTAAAATAATAAAAATTAAGTTTTACTTTTCTATTTTCAAGTGATAATTAAAATGAAGGAAATAAATAATTAAGACACATTTTTAAATATAAAAAATTGTTGTATTTGGAAAACAGATGAAATAATTAGATAATCAATTTTTATATTACTTTAGAGATTTGTTATTAAATATATATTGAAAAATTTACTAGCTAGTATAATACTGTTTCTCCACTTCTAACTTTTTCACCGCCTCTTCGAGTGAATACAAATGCTCATCATTTATTGTTGGAGCAATAAGTCGCATCGCAGCTGCTAATTTGTACAAATATTCTATATTTGGTCCACTTGGACCACAGCATTCTAATATATGATTTGCAATTGTATTTAAATCTTCTGTCCCCGTAAATAGGGGACTATCTTCTCTGCTTATGTAAACTGTAACATGGAAAGGCAATTCATCTGTCTCCGATAAAGTAACAGTCGATGAATTTTTTGTTATTAATATATTTGTCGTAATATTGCTATTTAATAAATCCCCATCCATTGTCGATACTGTTTTACATGGATTAAATAAAACAGTCCTTCTCTCGTATCCACTTTCACGTGAATTCAAATGTTTACCAACATGCTCGATATTGTCTTTCGAAATTTTGTAAGCTACACCCCACACTTCGTCTTCCGGATCTCTTGATGCCATTAGTGTCACCACTCGACCAGGCTAAAATTAGGTATTGTTTTTATTAGTCTATATATAATATATATAGAAAAAAATGTATTTCTTAAGCAATTAATTTAGATCAATTTTTAATTTTCTTTTATTTTTCCAAATTATCGATTAGTATGAAAGAAAACAGATTTATCAACTGAAATAATTTTGCTATTCTCGTAAAAAATTTGTTTTTGTTTGAATTATAATTATTTTTGCAGTATGTTAATTTATAAATTGTTTACGAACCTTATTCGGCACTCCTCTGTGATCGACACTCTTTTGATAAAATCTACGAACATATCCTTTTATGTATCCGACAATTTTCTTTTCATAAGGAAAATCAGCCTTCCATATTAAGGATCCATAGCCAAAAACCCACATTCTTGAATCTGAAAATTGAATTATTCTTTATTCTATTGTTTGAGGAATTATTTTTTTTGTCTTAATTCTTTGACGACTATTTTAAAAATGACAGGAAAGGTCATAAAGTTCAAATATATACTAAAGAGATAATGAAAATTATTGAACAATCAACATGAATAATAGTTACATTTGTATAATTTAATGTCATAAATTTGTAATGTAAATTAGTTTGTTTTTTCAAATTAGACGTAATAACACAATAAAATGGAAATTTATGAATCTCCTATTAAAATCTACTTTAGAAAAAATGCAATTTTGTATTTAAAGGAAAAAAGGTGAAAACTTGAAAAAAATTTCAGAAAAAAAATAAATAATAAATATAATAAATAAATAAATAAATAAATGTAATAAATAAATAATAAATATAATAAATCAATAAAATACTTAATATTAATGTAAATTAAACACAGTTGATGGAGGAATGAACTGAAGTAAACAAAATTATTCAGAAGCGAATGAAAGGAACAAAAGCGTATAAATAAATGTGGAATGAATCAAAAGATAAAAATATAAAGTTTGAAATTGAAATAAATTTTCACGTACCTCTTTTGTTAATTTGCTAAAATAAAGTTATTCCGGAACTTTTCTGACGTTGTGTCAACGAAAGCTTCAAAGAATCTGACAGTCTGATGCAACCGTAAATTTATTAACAGCTTCGATGCTTGTTGATTTTCACTCCACATTAATAGGAAACAAAAAGGAAATTCCCGCACATGCTTCATTCTAATGATTTAAAATGTTTAAATGACACCAAATACCGGTGGAAAATATTTATAAATTTATCGTATTTATAAAAACGAATACCTATTTTATTAATCACAAATTATAAATAGTCTAAAATTACAAGCACCATAATAATTTAAGGAACATGAGTAAATAATAATTAGTCAAAATTTAATAACTAAAAAAATTTCAATTAGACAAATTTTTTATTTTTATAATAATTTCTATTTTTCGTAAAACACAATGTTTTTTGCAATATTTAGAAATATGGGAATTAAAAATTTTTTTTCATATTTTAAATTTTTTCCAAAATTTTAAATTACTTGATAAATTTTACAAATTGTTAAAATTTACATTTTTCAGATTTTATTTCCAAAAGAACAAGGGATTTTGTTGATACTTAAAGGTTATATAAATTGAAAGTAGTAAATTTTGGGAAGTTGGAAGAATGAGTGAAACAAAAAAATAATAGAATATGGTAAAAGTAAGAAAGTATGTAAATATTGTTAAACATAGGTATAGCAAATGCACAATAGCGTAAAAATAATTTTTAGAAATATTTCTTTGAAAATTCTCACAATTTTTAACGATATAACCCTTTTCACCAATTGCTTTTCGTTTAGTGTAAATATCAAATAAATGAATCAAACATAGTCTTAAAAAATTCTTTAACAATTTTTCGATAGTTTTTGCACACTTGATGATGTGTCATTGTCAGCTATAACTATTGACTGCCATGTCATTACATCATCTCAGGACATCTCGAATGTCATTTGTTTTGGTAGTTTTGTTATGTTGAAAAATTACATTTCTAATGTTGGTAGCTGAAATTTTAGACAGAGACGTAGGAATAATTTTGTTAATTGATAGAATATTGTATGTTCCAAATGCTTTTTTAAAAGTATTTTAATAAATTAATTAAATTTAATTAAAGTTCGTAAATTAGCATTTTTTATATAAATTAAAATTTATACCAAAAATTCAGTTTTCGTAGAATTTCTTTTTGGACTAAAATTTTATCCGATTGGTTGTAGTTTCCCGCCAGATTTTAACTCCGCTTCCTGCAGTTTATTTTTTAATTAAAAATTTTTTAAAAATAAAAATTATGAGAATTATTTACAAAATGTGGGAATTTATTAGAAAATAGTAAATCCGAGTAATATTGTGAATAATTTTTCTAATTTTTATTCGTAGAAATATGTAGAAATTTGCTAACCATAAGGTGGTGCTATCTAGGTTCGTGAGACGATTTTATGAACTATTTTCTTTAAATTCAACTCTGTTGGTAAGGGAATATTTAAAATAATAAAATTCTTAATAATAATTTCAAAATTATTTTTAAAAAACAGATCTTACGTTTTATAAAAATTTTTTTTCTCTTTCATTTTTAAAATTGAAAACAACATTTATCATCAGAATTGAATTTTTGGAAACATTTTTAACGAGAATGTCACTGTTTAAAAAAAATGTTTTTTAAATTGTTGAGAAGTGACAAAAATCATTAAATAATTATTTAGCAAATAAAATAGAGAATAAAGAATAACAATTTTTATTATTAAATGACTAATTTTCGTTTTGTTCATACAGATTTTTATATATAAAACTCTGGTAATATTTTTTTAATTATAAAAATTAAGATTTATAATTATAAAGAATTAAATTAAATTATAGAAATAATTTTATCAATAAAAAATTTTTTAAATATACTATACGTTTACATAAAAAATTGTAGTTTATAAATGTCTAGTCTGATGAAAAATAATATTTTTTTCATTTATAAAAAAATTAAGGTTCATAATTATAAAGAATTTAAATTAAAATGTTTGAAATAATTTCATCAATATTTTTAGCAAAAATTTCTAATTTAGTTTCATCTCATAGAATTAAGAGAGTAAAGTATAATTTTGTGTGGGCCTGAATCCCCCAGTCGAATTTCCAGCAATATAAAACCGGTTCAAATTGAACCGGTTCTTTAGTATGAATAGCGTGCCATGATCGGCAAACGAAGCATCAGACTAGGCATTAATAAACTACAATTTTTCATATAAACGTATAGTATATTTAAGATTTTTTTTCATTTTAGTTGAAGAATTGTAATATTTTCTTACTAAAAAAATTTTAAGCCTTAAAATTAAAAAAAAAAGAACAATTATAGTCTCATTTTTTTTAATTCTGTAAATTGAATTTAAAATAAGAAAGAACTCTTTCTCTTTAAATTGGAATTTGTAAAAATGTTTTCTAATTTGAATTAGTGACTGATTTTTGCTTCTGAATTAGTAAATTTTACTAATTGATTAGTAGAAATTGCTATTTATTTGTAAAATTTATTAATTCAAAAGCAAACAGTCAGTCACTTAAATTCAATTTAGAAATATTTTCACTAATTTAAATTCGGAGAGTTTGGTAGTTTTTTTATAAATAAATTGAAACGATTATAATTAAGTTAGTAATTAACTGGTAATAAATAGGATTAATAAATTTTTATTTCCGTTTTATTGTAGTCTTTAAATATGATTTAGTTTAAAATGAGTATTTGGTTGCAAACAGTTACTAATTCAAATATTAATACTTAAATATAAAAAATTAAATTTAATAAATTATTTATTACAAACGTTTTGTTAAAAAAAATATACGAAAAAAAGTTTTACCTGAAACAGCTAAAAACTTTACTAGAATCGCCAAATTTTTAGTTATTTCTGTTAAAACTTTGGCTATTCGAGAATTTGTTTGCTGTTCCAAGTAAAGCTTTTATTTTGTGAGCTCAAATTAATGAGTTACTTAATAATTAGAAATGATTATAAAATATTAACTCAGGTGAAGGTAAAAAATTAAAATATTTCCATTTTTTAACTTTTTTTTTTTCTTTTGCTTAGGGACTTTTGGGAAATCTGCTTACAGATACCTTGGATTCCGCACTCCAAGGTTATGTGGGGTTGGTGTGATAAAACAAAGGGAAATAAAAAATGAAAAATAAATATATAAAATAGTAAATTTAATAAACTGGCGACCTACTGCCAGCCCGACCCACTAAAACCCGTAACCCTTCTTCTGGAGCCCTTTACCCTCCCTCGGAACTGTCGTAAGACTTTAGCCTTCGAGGGAGACTTTAGCCTTCGAGGGTCCATTTTTTAACTTTACGTTTTAAGTTAATATTTTATAATAATATAACTATTTTTAAGAAAAACAATAAAATTATTATAATAATAATAATTACCACGGGGAATATATTACAAATAAATAAATAAAATAATAGAAGTAATAATAAAATTGTTTTATTTTGAGTCAGGAGATACGTGGGTAATTTTTAATGTATTTCATGTAAAATATTTTTTTCTTTTCCAGGTGTTCAATTCATGAAGAATGGATGATTGCTGCGGTGTAACTCTTGGAGGAGATCGGAGAATTTTATAGTTATATCTAAAAATAACTAATTATGACTAACAAAAGTTAATTATTATTTTTTATAAAATTTATAACTTACACTATAATATAGTCAAGTTTTGAATTTAAAATTAGATTTTTATTTATCATTTTTTTAATTTAAATAATCCAATGAAAAATTTAATTAGATTAATAACTAATTAATTTACGAATTGGTTTATTAATAAAGAATATAGAACGTTTAGCATTTTAGTTTTTTTTACTTAATAATATAATTTCTTTTTTTTAGTCTTAGGCATAACTCATCTACGACATGGAAGTTTCGTTGGTTAAAAAGAGGGATGTGCTGTCATCGTATTTTTTCCGCAACACGAAAATCCGTTATTGGTAAGACTTTTCTAAACAATTAATTTTATACAAATTTAAAAATTTCATTAAGATTAGCATTTTTCTTTTACTTTACAACTACTTTTTTATTTTTAGGTACCTGATCTTTGACAAAGAAAATGTCCCTGAAATTAGCGTCGACTCTCGGCGACGAAAACAATTATTTGAGTCTTTTAGAGATGATTACTAATTTCATCTCTTCTATTCACCTAGGGAGTTAAAAACTTTTCTAGAATACCTTTTTAATACATAAATTTTGAAAAAATTGTCTTATTCTTTTCGGTTTCGTGAAAAAAGATCTTTTCGACGCTCAGCGTCGACGCTAAATTTAGAGAACTCAAACAAGTTTCGCCGGTTTGAAGGAGGGATACGCTGTAATCGTATTTCTTTCGCAACGTAAAAATCCACTATAAGTAAGTCTTTTTAAACAATTTTCTACTTTAAAAATTCAATTCAATATTGTTTTTATTTTTAATTTTTTTAACTGCATATATATTGAATTAAATTAAATTAAAATAAATTTATATATAAGTAAATTTATAACTGTTGTTTGGTTAATTAAGTAATTAAATAATTAATTAATTTAATATTATATTTATAAATATTTATATAATTTTAATCAATATAATTTATATTTATATTTATATAAATGTGTAGAATTAATACAAAACTGTTTTTTCCAGCATTTGTTAAAAGTAGTAAGTGACAGTAATAGTAGCAAATAATGATAAAATAATGTTTTCAAAAAGTAATAAATTTTACGCACTATTATCAAATTGTGAATTTGGAAAGGGGCTTACCGCAAAAGTCATTTTCACATAACAATTGATTGTGAAAATGACTATTGCGGTTTTTAGAGTCGAGCCCTTTTCGGAATTCATGACTCAATTCGATTAACGAATTTTCCCTCTTTCAGTGGATGAAGACCTGAAGAATATGGAGAAGAAAAGTGGTCCCTGCACACTGCCGTTCTTTTTTTTTCTTTTTTTTTTAAGGAAATTTTACACGGAGAGTTTGTTATTTAATATTCAAATTTGATATTTTTATTTAATATTTTTCTTACTATTTAATTTAATTTTTTTCAAGTAATATCCTAGTAAATTACAGTATTGTAGTATAAATGATTTCTAGTAATTGATACAATTTGTTTAGCAAGTCAAAATTGACGATTGAATCTAGTAGATTCTCTAAAGTAGAATCTACTAGGTTTTTAGGTCTCTCTCGTTTTTTGTAATAATTTCCGAACGGTTCCGTGTGGCCCTCGATCTGACGCAGAAGTGCAAGGAAGAGTCAGGGATCTTCGAGGGTGGCCCAAGAAGGGATGATGTAGTGGAGGATCCCATCATCACAACGTGGGAATCATCAGATCAATTAATTGATCTCATCAAATAATGAGTCAATTGTTAGTTGATTATTTCATAAATTTTATTGCATTTCCATCCTTCCTTGTTTACCAGTTTTTGCACTTTAATTTACTTTAATTTAAAACAACAAATTTTTGTCATGAATGAAAAATCAATTTTGAAAATATTTAAAATTGTGAAATTTGTTTTTATTCGTTAGTTTTTTTTCTTTAATAATGAAACTTAATTTATTTGCAATTATATTTTTTTTTTGGAAAACAAGGAAGGAACCCCAACAACATAGTGACACCATTGATAAAATGAATTATTTTCCATTATAGATTTTATATTACTATTCGAATATTATTATACGAATATTATTATATTACTATACGAAAATTAATTTTTTTTATCAATGTTATTTTTTTCTATTGTGTATTTGTTTTCAATTTGTCTCAAGATGGAAGTAATTATCTTTTGAAAATAATTAAAACAAAATTTTTTCTCTTTTTAAGAATTAAAACAAATTTTTTGAAATTAAGTGATAATAATTAATAATAATAATAATAATAATAATAATAATAATTAAAACATCTTTTCAAAATTATGTTTCAAAATTTTACAAAATTAAAAATTCTTAACAATAAATTCCAATTTTTTGCTAACTTAAATTTTTAAACTAGAATATAAATTTAAAAAATAAATTCTGGACAATATTTTTAAATTTTTCGCTAATTTTGAGACAGATTGAAAGTTATGTATTATTGTTTATTTTATATTTCGTTTGTTTTGAGTGTGAAATTGAGAGTCAGGATAATATAAACAACGCTGTGCTTATGAAGATACGCAGCTTTGGTTGTGCCTTCCGTGACCTTAATTTTGAGCTCGGGTGTCGGATGCGTCCCGGGACGTAGGGGCCTAAAGGCCCACGTAGGAGATTCCACGTGCTCTAAATCTGCATGTGGTTTCTTCTTATCCCTAGGAGTAGGATTTTTTGCACCTGGGCGGAATGTCTGGAAAACGTAGAGTGCTGAGTGTGATTAAAATTAGGTTTGCACTTAAATAGTTCGTTGCGTGATAAAATCGGAAAGGCAGGCTTAGTTATCTTTTTGATTGAATGGAGAATAATTTTTTTTTTTCGCCTTAAATATAGATTTAGGTAGGGAAATCGGTTTTTTTTGGAATGTAAGCAATCGGGATTGAAAACGCATCACCTAATTGTGGATTAATGTCACTGGAGGTGATATCACAGCCAGTGGAGTATCACTGAAAGTACTCCTTTTAACCCCTGGAGTACAACCGAAAGTACTCATTTAATCCCTGAAGTACCACTGAATGTACTCTTTTAAACCCCTAGAGTACCAATGAAAGTATTCTTTTAATCCCTGAAGTAAAAATGGAAGTACTCTTTACAACCCCTGGAGTACAAACTGAATGTACTCTTTTGTCACTGGAGTACAACTATGAGAGTACTCTTCAGTCACTGGAGTACCACCGAAAATATATTATTTTTCTTGCAATTTCTATATTTTTCTGTCACTATGTTGTTCAATTTTGTATTTTATTGTTTTTGTATTTGTGAATTGAAACCGCGTGTCGAAGAGGAATCTAGAAATTAAATGTCAATTTTGAAAAGCAACTAAAAAATAAATAACTTTAGTCCTAGTTCTTTTGAACTATAAATAAATATATTCAATCTTTTCCAAAATTTCTATACTTTTGAAATAAAATCCGCAAAAGCAAATCTCTGAAAATTATTTTTAATGTATTTACATAATTTACACAATTTTTGTTGGCTAATTTTAAAGATTATTTCTATTTTCTTAATAATAATAGAAATTAAAGAGTAATGGTTTTAGTGTTAACATAATAAAATAGAAAATAATGGAAAATAAAAGAATAATAAAAATTTATTCCTTTCAAATTTAATAAAAAAGGAATAAGATTCGTCTTCTACGCGCGGCTTCGTAATTATTGTTTTTTTATACTTGTTGACCAATATTATTTTTGCAACAAAGTCGTGATGGTAAGCGACGATTGCATCAATTTTTGGTTCTTGATTTTGTACTTGTTTCAGCAGGAAAAAAGTAATCTTATATTTAGAGGAGAAATTTCAAATATTCCCTTAATTTTCCCTCTCTAAACAAAAGTATATTCAACTTCAATGGAAAATATTTTTATTCCTTGCGTTAATTAATTACAAAAGAATTGTTTTGAGATTTTGATTGGCAAAAATATTTAATTCAAGGGGAAAAAGTAAATAATAAACAAAAATATGTAATAAAATTAAATTGTTTTCTTAATGAAATTTATTAGAGAAGTAGGAAATAAATGCTTACAAAAAGAAATTACAATAAAGAGAGTTTGATAAAGGGCAATTTTGTTAATCTTGGATTTAATCTTGATAGAATAAAAAATGTATAGGTATATGTGATTTTTTTCTGTTGATAGGATAATTAGAAAGAGGTGTATATATATAAACATAGTTGGTAGATTTGAAAGAAATGCTTAAACACATCCTCTCTAGGTTTCTTATTGACGTGCTCTTTACTTTAGGCTCCTTGCTAGAGTAAAGTTTTCCCAAGTAAACCAATGGAAACATTTCACCCTTGTTGGCATGTATATGCATATGTATATAGTTAGTAAATATCTGAGAGACTCCTTTATTGTGGGAACTATTGTCGTCACGCATCATGCCCGTGCCTAAAAAGTGACTCTTTCCTTGATACTGTCTTTAAATGAGAGAACAATGAACCACGATACCGTGTAGAAACACCTAGAAATTCTGTGTGGGTTTTTCAAGAAAATGATATAATTTGATGGAATTCGTTTTTATTCAAATGAAAAAGTATTATATGTGTGCAGTACTTTGTCTTCTAAAGCATGTAATTAAAACATTATGTATCACATAAATGTTTATAATATTATGTATGTATTCTTAATGAAACATTATTTCGCTATTAATATCTAGGTTTTTAATAATTAGAAACAGACTAACCTTTGTTTAGTACTTTGAATTTTAATTTAATAAGCATTGTTTCTTAAAACATTTTTTTTCAGAAATTAATACTGAATAGGAATTAATAAATCTTGAATTTAATTTGAGACTGACTTTTGGCTGTGAATGATTTTTTAAAAATAGTTATAGTTGAAATTCACAAACGAATTAGTGAATATTTTGTTCCTGAGTAAAATTTTAGTTTAGTTAAAATTTAATTAATTCAGAAGAAAATGTCTGTTACTAATTCAAATTAGTTGGGAATTTTTCGTAATTCAGATTTATAATGTTTATAATCATAAATTTTCTTCGTTCTTTATTCAATTTTTTTTCTTGATTTTTTACTTATATAAAAATTTCGCAATCAGATTTAATCTATAGGAAATCTTAAAATTTGACCCTTCTTTGAAATTGTCATTCTTTTTTTTTTTTATAAAATAACGATAATTGGAATTATATGAAATAAATTATTACTTAACTACACTGAAAAAATCTTCACCTGAAACAGATGTCAATTTGTTACACTATATTATCGAAATTTTTAGTTGTTTCAATTAAGAGTTTCTTTATTCTAGACAGACTTATTGCTGTTGCAGGTAAATTTTTTTTCTGTGTTTATATATATATTTAAAAAATTGTATATAAATTAAATTAAATTAATTATTTAATTATTTTTAACTATTTTTTTTAACATATTTCATTCTTGTTAACATTTTCAAAATTTGTTTACTTACGAGAAATTTGTAAATTATTTTTCAAACAAAATTTGTTCTTGTAAACATTTTTGAAATTTATTTACTAGAAATTTTTTAACTGTCTTTTTTCGTAAACAAACTTTATTCTTTGAAATAATTTTGAAATTAATTTACAATTTGCGAAAATGAATTGTTAAAATTTATTTAATCTGAAATATTTTTAAACTTATTGAAAACTACATAGGGGAGACTGGGGCGAAAAGTTAAACTACCAAAACCGTTAAAATTCATTATCTTTCGAACGAAAATAGTTAGAGCATTGCAATTTTAATTATAGAAGGGTGTTATCACCCTAAATAAATGTCCGGAGTTGTGTGCAATTCTGTTTATTTTTGTGGTGTCAATATTAAAAGTTTTTTTTCAACCTACTTTTCAAAAATTTTTTCGAAAAAGAAAATATCAACTTTTAAGTATATTTTTTGCAGTTTTTCTCACCGCGATTTTTTTACTTCATTATTTGGGTCCCCTGAAGAGATACCTAAAGGTATTTGCTAAATATCTTTAGTCAGATTTTTTATATTTGTTGTTAAAGCCAAAAACGCACCCTGGGGCGAAAAGTTAAATGTATTTTTATATGTTGTTAAAAAATTTTTTTTTATTTTTCGTTTTTTTGGGTTTATTTGTTTAAACATTATTTATTTGACATTTGGCAAGTACTCTGTCAAAAAATAAGCCGGTTCACGTGAAATAAACCAAAAAAATTTTTTTTTTTTTAAACTTCAATTTTTTAACTTTACAACTATTCTAATGCTTTGTCAAATAAACAAAGATCTTTTATTTACTAAATTACTTGTTTACGTATACTTTAACTTATCTACTATTTATCACCTATCAGAAAATAGTTTTAGTAGGCTAAAAATAGAATTTAACTTTTCGCCCCAGCATGGGGCGAAAAGTTAAAAAAAACAAAATTTTCAAAAAAGGACAAAACATATATTTTTTGCTAAAATATCAGGAACTTTTTTATTGAAAGTTGTAGAGGACAAGTTGCCTTACAATATTGATATACAAATATATGCATCTAAGCGGCTTATATTGCCAAAAAAAAATCATTTATGCAAAATTTAACTTTTCGCCCCAGTCTCCCCTATTTTAAAGTAAATTTGGGATTTTGTTAGAAATAAGAAACAACTTTGGATTATTTAGAATAAATATTTATTAGTACGATCTTTATTAAATAAAATATTAATGATAATTTTTATTGCAACTCACAAGATATTTATTTTTAAACAAATAACAATTGAGTGTAAAATATTATATAATTTATAATTATAGTTGGAAGATTAGAGGATTTTAGGATCAGGCATATTTTATATAAATACATTTAAAACTAAAATGTAAGGGAAATTTTTAT